CACTTGAAAATTAGATATAAATGAACAGAATCACATAAGACACCAAAACTAGATCATGAGAGAGTGAAATGGCTAGAAAGGATTAATCTCATGAAAGCATCAGATCTACGCAACAAAAGACCAAAATTCAGCAAAAGCCGAAATGAAACAGGTTTACGATTGGGTAGTTCAACTTCCAACAGTAAAAGGTCCCAATATTTAAAAAAAGAGACAGACAACAACATTTCATAAACTCAAACAACGATATTTAGAATCATAGAACAAAGGAAAAAAAAAAACAAAACAAAAATTCAGATCTATAACCGTAACGGTCAAATTTAGGACAAGACAAGCAGCAGTTCAACACAGTAACTAAATGCTACACAGGGACATAATAAAAGAAAACAACGAAAATGTTAAGGAGAAGAAAAGAATGAAGAACCTGAAGCGAGTATCGTTTAGAAGTTAAAGAAACTGAGAAACTCGCTCGCTGGAAACAGACCTCACCAAACTCCAGTGGACTATGGTGTTGTGTGGGGAAGGAGTAGGACGCTGTCTCCCTATTTATACTAATCAATGCCCCACAATGACCGGTCACCGGAACCTGCGGTTTGGCCGTTAGATTTGACGCCCAAATCAAGGAGTTGGTGAGATTGTGAGAGCGCCCGGTAACCGGATACTGCCGGTCACGCGCCAACCTTAACCCAGAACGTGTAATACAGGTAGATTCCATTTTGATCGTTGTGCTGCGATTTGAAGGGTGCCAATCGGGTTCGTAAAATATTTTTCGACACTTTACTAGTGTTTTTAATATTTAAATATCAAATGATTTTATATTTTTAAAATAACAAAAAATCACTTTTGAACATTTTTTAAAAATATTATTTTATCAAATTTGAATTGTCTCATGTATATATAATAAGTTCAAATTTACAGTAGTTCAATTGTTTTTGTTTTATCTTGGTGGTGTTGGTATAGCACAAGGCAATATTGACATTGACTCTTTGAGTAATTAATTTTGTCGTACCAAGTGGTTTCCTTCTGGTTGTGTCATGCATGTTGAAAATGGAAAATAAGTCTATTATATAAAAATAAATTCATTACGGTCAAATCTACTTGGTTGATTTTTAAGAATAGAAAATAATAAACAAATGTATATTGACTAAATAATATGCTAAGTGTCATGCAATGTTGATGGCTTAATAGCATGTCAAATATGACCATCATATTCTAAAGCCATCTAAAAATTACAAAATTTCAGTCAATAAACAGAACCTGAATGATTCTATATATCCATCACCAGACCACGGGGTTAGCTGAGATAAGATACCACCTAAAAAGGTTTTTGTTTTAAAGCTTAAAAATATTTTTACTTCATGCTATAATATAATAAATTTAATTTTGACTCTTCACTGTTGTTTTTAAGTGTTAATATATATTTTTTAATTAAAAATAGTTTTATCTCTACTTAATAATAATATTGTATGTATTTAGTTATATCACATTAACAATTACTTTAAGATGATAAATAAATGTTGTCTATATGTGTATCACATTATCATAATAATATGAACTATTCTTAAATATTTGAAATTTTATAAAAGTTAAAATTAACCAAAAATAGAAAAAAATAAATTTATTTATTTTTGTAACGATTAAAATTACATTTTATCTTTATTTTGGTTAATCGCAAGGGAAAAAATAATTGTTTTAGCTAGCTATCAACATACACGAATGTGAATTAGGAAGATATACAATATGTTTGATATTTTCTTCAGTAAGAAATAGATAATTAAGTTATTAATATAAATAAAAAATAGTTATATTATAAATTTAAAGTGTATTTCAAAAATAATTATAATAATAAATGGTCAAATTGGTAATTCATATATTAAATGAATAAATATATGTACTCATATGGATAATGAATGAGTTTTTTTTATTAATGTAACAATTATACTAAATAAAAGTATTAAAAAAATTAACAATTAATGCACTTAACAAAAATAATCTTTATTTCATATTCTCTCTATCTCATACTAGTTATGACTTTTAGTACTATTGCACAATTTATTTTTTTTAAAAGTCATTAGTTTAACCAAATGTTACAGTAAAAAATTAAATTTCACTAAAATATTCCTATTAAAAGTGGTAATCTCATTACAATAATTAAGTGATAAGTAATCTTAAAGTTATATTAGTTGTTAGTTGGCAAAAACTATTTTTAAGAAATAAAGGAATTTTTTGACAAATATATAAACACTTTTTTAATATTTTAAAATGACAAATAAAAAGTGTTTAAGTAATAACTAATATGATACATAAAGAGTATACTTTTAATAATAAAAAAAACAGTGATAAATATTTTTTTTATAAATAAAAAAATAAACATGAGAAAATGGGTATATGATTAAAATGGTTTTAGTCAAACTTAAGCCAAGAATAATAACTAGGGCAGTGATGACTGATGGAGTATAAAACTGAATATATTGCTAACCAATTGACACATTATTGCAAGTGGAAACACCACAAAATAGTTTATGATTAATTGTTATTTGAAAGATGGTAAGTAGGAGGTTGGTGACCTACCAAATTGAAGCTACAAAGTATGGGTTTATGGGTATGTTTAGAACTCAACAACCCCATTAACCATGTAAGGGTCAAATCCAGTCAAGTGCATTTCCCATAATCCCTTTTATAATATGGACCTCAAAAAAATAAAATGGAAGAAAATAAAAAACAAATTAAAAAGGAGAAATTATAATAAATAAAGTCGAATAGGCAAAAGGTGTGGCATTGCTGTCAGGGAAAGCCCCAAAAGATTGGGCAAACTGGCACGTAACGGTCATACGCGGTTGGTGACTGACAGTGTCACGATTTCTGTGTACTGTGTAAGGTTCCTTACCAATCAGAATCGGTGTCACGTTTTTTTTATAAATCAGTGTAAAATCAGGTCATCACGGATTGTTGGAATTCGTCGTTCATTTTAATTCAAAGATAAATATATAAAAATTAAATAAAAGTACACATCTATAAGTCCAATTCCATTTTAATAAAATAAAAACATGAATCAACAAAACTCACAGCATTTATAATACATGTATTTCTTAAAGATGTTGACCATGCTTGATTTTATAAAAAGAAACTTTATTCTTTTCCTATTTTTTTAAAAAAAATAGGTAAAGTATTTCCATAAAAGTTATTTTCTAATTGGCTTTTTTAGCAAAATAAATTTCATTTATTTAAAATATTCTACTACAAAAATTAACTGTTAACTTAAAAAGTGAATGTAAAGAGGGACGTCTACACGATATAAGGAAGGAGTGATGACTTCTTCTTTTGAAGAATATTAACAACTTCTATTAACGTATTGTTAAAAATAAATAAATAATATTATCAACGTATCCATATAATTTCTTTTATAACTTAATTATTCTCTACTATGCCAAAACTGTAATTTGATCTATATTACTTTTTTTAACTAGTCTTTTAAAAGTTGATTTTTTTTTTAAAATTTCTATTTAACTATCACGAGTTTCTTATATTTGAACTTCATAAATATAATGAACTTTTCATTTGATTCTCCTGTAACGTGGAACTAAATGAAAACAAAAATGATATTTTAGTTGATCAAATGAAAAAAATAATAGAAGAGATTATTTTGTTACAACAAATATTTTTATGGAAGACTTATTTTAAAAATAAAAGATTAAATAAATAAAATCACAAATTTTGTAGAGACAAAAACTTAATTGTCAAGCTGGAGCCATCAATAATGAGAAATGTACTAGCAGCCCCTTGGACGTTTATCTTCCACAATGAACAATTAATCTTTTAAGTAAATTTCTTTGCTCTGCGCTGACAATGTTTGATATCTAGAACTCAATATCCCTGAACACTCCGACAAGCAATATTTTGCTAGTTTTTGGCAGCATCAGAAAATCACTGTATTATTCCTAGAACATAATGTCACGAAGATCTGTTGCTATTTTGCTGAGTATTACATAACATATGATGTTTCTATTTTGAGTGTGTACTTTATTATATTCCTTTCTTTCATGGATAATGGAACCGGATCATGTGCTTCTGTTATGATATTATCCAAAAGCACAAAGAGAATAAAAGGAACGTTAAGAGAGAGAGAACGCGGCGTGCTTCATTATGGGCTGTTTTCTTTTCTAAGTTTTTGGTCCCCTTTTTTTCACTGCGAAAGAGAACAAAAATTGAGAAGAGAAAAGAAAAGAAAAAAAAAAACAGCCTAGCACAGCTCAAGGACTGAACTTTACAATCTAAAGACAGAGATAGAGTCCCGTTTCGTCCAAGTTTGAAGCTCTGAAAAAGAAAAATCCACGTCGAAGTGCCTCCCTCACTTTGAAGCTATTGTGTGGCAGTGGCAACTTTTCAATGAGAAGCCAGAAAGAACAGATATGATATCTTCATCAAAACGCCATAAATGTGATAACGTGCATTTATATTAGTATTAATACAGTTGGTTACAATACACGCTTGCACAACTTCCTATGACCGGCCGAAACAAGGCTTGCTGTTAATTGATTTTAAAAGAGAGAAGGATAAAAAAAAAATATTTGCTACTCGTAAACTAGGATAATATTTAATTTATTTGAGTTGAAAAACATGAAGAATAAATTAAATTCACGGAGAAATTTCATCTAGAAGATAGGTGGAATTATGCCATAAACACGATTATGATTTAACTATGTCCCACAATTTTTTATATACACATTTTAATTTTTTTTCTTTTTTTAATCACATTTCTTATTCTCTCTCTCTTCTTCACCTCTCTCTTTCTACAACCTATTGCTTGTACCAAGTGCGCATGAAATGCTCATCTTCCACCATGATAAGCACGACATTTAATAATAGCTTATTCTATGATTGGTGGGAGAAGGAAAACTAGCTGTTTTTTAAGACAAATGCTTAAGTGCTAATTAAAAATTAAAAGTAGAATTTTCTATCAAAAAATATTATTAATGCATTCATCATAATTTTCAATAATAAAAAAAAATCATCAGCTTTTTAAACTAGTATTTTTAAGAACTCGTTAGCAAGATCCGTTTGAAACTATAATTTCTCTAGAGCTTTTAACTACCATAGCCTAAACATTGAGACATATCGTGTTCCTGTGGAGTGCAAATGCATCTTGTGCGCGATGGTAAGAGTCTTATGATCAGCATGCACACTTTGGGAAGCTTTTTCCTTTTGAAGTCTATGTTAAGACTCTTATGCCTGATCACATCAAGTACGTTTGATTTTTGTCAGCCATTTTGCTGAGCCTCGAGTAATTATCATCAGGATGAGGTTAGGACCAGTCATCAATAACAGCAAAACAATAACAGCAGCCACTTCACATTCCACACCAGTCATCAATCTGGTCAGGATCCAGAAAAGTCAATTATTTGCATCCCTCTTCCAGCAACACAAATCTGATAATGGTTCCTACACAAGACACAAACTAGAGTTCAGAGAAACAAAACATCGGGCAACCTGGTCATACTCTCGTATATAACAATCACCTGCCACATGCCCTAGCAGATAACGTTTCTGGCTCTGGCACACTAACTATTAGATGTGAATGCTCAATTAGTTTGCTCCGCTGAAGATGCCAGCATCTGACCCTCTGATCAAGTCCAGTCGAAAACACCCAAGATCCATCTGTCCAGACACCTTCATAAAATAAAGGCTGGTTAGAATGCATCAGTGATTATACACACACAAGTTCCAATGTTCATATGCATTTCCCGATAGGGCAAAAATTAGGCGTTATTTCTTACTTGCTACTAATATTGTTCTCTGATCAAAATTAGAGTTCCAATTTGGTAACTAATACTGACTTTTATTATGCAAATTACTAAGGTAATTTTCTAATTTTAATTGAAAAATATACAAAATTTACCTAAAATACCCAGACAAGTTTAATCCCATAAACAAGAATAATACAGAAAATAATGGATTTAACATCTTAATGGTACAAATTGTTAGATGAAGCAATTGAAAACTATTCAGATGAGAAGATAAGATCATTGAACAATGAAAGTCTGACATGCCTACTATTCTTTATAAACAGAGGGAAGAAAAAAGTTGTAGATAAATAGAAGTATAATCATAAGGCGTTACCTTTGACAGAAGAGCTGTGAGCAGAGAGTAATTTTTCATAATTTAAGAATCTTATCTCACAATTCTTGCTCTGGCTTTGAAAATCGATGCCCTTCCCATATTCAGGTTTAGGGACCAAATCGGGGGTCAAAATCCCATCATTTAAACATTTTGATTTAGATGATAATTCAACTATGAGATGATGAAGTGCTTGATCATCACCCCCACTAATTATACTGTACACATGACAACTATCAGTATTTTGGCCACCCTTTATCTCTGAAACATGGAGACAGTTGACCCCAGATTGGTGAGTATTTTGCAAAAGGTGTAGAGGCTGTATTTCACATATTTCCACCGATGAATTATCAGTCTTGATTTCTAGCTTGGAGTAAGGTACATGTGTGGATTGAGAACAAACCATCTTGCAATCTTCAGAATCACTTGGTATGTATGAAGTCCCCTGTGTAGCACAAACGATGTTTTTGGTCTTGTCCTTGGCTTTTGAGGTGACCAGAAGACTGTCTTGTCTTTTCTTTGACAAGCTATTGCTCAAAGATCTCCAGCGTCTACCACCCTGACTTCCTCTCCCAGTGCGTGGCCGTTTTTGACAATCAAAAAACTTCTCTACATTAAAAACTGAAACTCGCTTCATGAAAGACTCAACACTATCAGTTAGGTCCCAGAAAGCAACACTTCCATCGGTAGAGCCACTAATCACAATATAAACATTATCATTTTGGATGATTTCTGCAAAAGAAAGTTCAGACATAAGATGAATCAAATTTAAGCCTAAAAATAGGTGATAGACAGAACAGGCAAGCAGCAATGTCTAAAATCATTCTAGTGAGTATTTCAAAAATTATACTGGAAAGCAGTATAGTCAAGCAGTCATTTTAACAAAAAATTTGTTATTTCGTCTACTGAGCATGACAAGAAACACTTCAAATTATCACTATCAAAAATAATCTCATTACATACAAATTTACCATTATAAGCAGTGGATGCTTTTAGCTGGGATATACTATAAAAGATAAAAAGCACACCTATGAACCAAAAAACTGATCATTTTGTTAAAAGTATAGCAAACCTCTGAATAAACTTTCTATAACTTATCCAAAAGAGATAATAAATCCAACCCTCTGAAATTTTTAAGACTCCCAACAACTAACAACAACCCATAAGAAAAACACATGTACTAAAATAAAACCCAGTAACACCAAAATAGCATCAACCAATCCCAAATACACCCAATAATTTGGGATTTGGGAATGGAATGAGTTACTAAAATATCCTTACACTGAATACAAAATTAATGTAAGTGTTAACCTACTATGCTACCGAACCTATGTAACTATAATCCAGAGGGTCTTTGGACTATTAAAGCAGCCTCATTATCACAAGTAAATCCAACCCAACATCGAGACAATTTCATCTTTGAACTAAAACTATCTTGATGCCATTGCATCATGCATCAAGTTTTACCATTAACTTTGATTACCAGGCAACAGGTAACAACCATGTCAACTTTTGAAGAGGCAAACTTAGAAATATTCTGGGCTATTACAATAAAACTGCCACATCCACATGAAAGGAAGGTATTAGGTGGCCTGGAACTCTTGCCAGTAATCACTGGAAAGGTATACTAACCTTTGGAAGGCCTATGTATGGGAAAGATGATATGCTGCAATGACAAAACAGGTGCCAATAAAGGAACCAGTAAAGCGACATCAAACCTGCCATCAGGAAAAGGGGAAAGGAACCATTAAGATGTAGAAAAAGAAAAAAAAAACAGATAAAATTATCATAGAATCTGATAGGATTAACTGTAAATACCACAATCGAAAGGGCAAAATTAAAGCCCGTAACATAAGAGTAGCATCTGAACATGCAACAACAACAAAACAGACAGATAACCTGAAAGATATACAAAATGGATGATTAGTTTCAGTTTTTTTTAGTGTGTTTGTGAAATTATCTAGTTTAACCAAATACACAATCACAGCAAGAAAGCATATCTCAGGCATCTTATCTCACCTGGAACCAGAACATTTAACAAGAAAAGCAGTGACTGCAAGATATCTCCAGTCATCTTCATGTTTATCTCTGATCAAGTTTGTTATTCCACTTTCAGAAATGAGTGATCCCGGTCTATCATCAATGTTTGTATTAGAAACATTTTCAGCGACCCCAAGTTTTTCCAAATTATTTTCTGGAATTTTGGGTGTAATTGAATACTTGGCTGGCATATCAGTGGAAAGCCACTGGAATGTCATTGATGAGGACAAATTTGACAAAAGTTTATCATCAAATCCTTGTGACTTGTATTGATGATCAGTTGGTAAATCACCTTTGTTGTCCAGCCTCCTATGTTTGAGTAGCCAAGAAGTTAAGACACGCTTTGCACCCACTGATATCAGTAATGTTGGATTATCTTTGTTTTCAAGACCAGCATTCAGTTCACTACCCCCATCAGGTGCATCACCATCACCCATGTCTAATGAAATGGTGTGTGCTTTTGACACACAACAAATTGATCTGACTGCCGATCCTCCAACATGTTCACCAAGCAATTTTGACGTGGACCAATTTTCAACACCTGGAGAATACCTAAATCAAACAGACACATTTAGGTGCAAATAAAGCACTCAAGCAAGTTCTACAGACAGCATACAACAACAGTCTTACCAAGTCAACCTCACAGTTCCATCTTCACAGCCAGTGGCAATCCAACTTGATTTAGAAAATAAGGTACATTTATAACTATCTCCAATAAGTACATCATTGGAGATAAAGCACAGGGAATGTATCTCTCTTCCATGGAACTGCATATGCAAACTCTGAGGGTATATCTTCCCATCTATATCATAAATCCAGTGTCTATGTATATGTATCATTTCATCCTGTAATAATTTACCTCATTTGTTAGGATTTTATCCTGAATTTTATTTTTTTTTGTGATAAAAAAAGTCAACCATCCAAAACAAAAATAGGTCTATTATATAATGAAGTGAGAACTGGAAGAGCTTTAATAAGTTATAAAATTAATGCTACAACTGCAGCACTAAATATCAGCTCTAATTTTAGCACCTTTCTAACATTTACCAACACCCTTTTTATTGAAGCAACAGAACAAAGTGAAGCTAAACAAGCTGACCAAATGTTCCGTTCAGATACCCATAGATATGATTGAGAAAATTTTGAAATCTAAAGACTAAGCACAAATCAAGACAGCGATCGGTTTCAACTGGGTTTTCATTTAGCTTTACCCAATCCATCCTCATTACTAGGCTCAAACAAGAAAAAAAGGTGAGACCTCCATGCCCACAAAAAAGGTCAAGGAGAGGACTTGAAGCCATGAAAATCTTACAGAACTATAGGAACTAACTATACAGATTTTCTAACAAATATAAAGAACTATAGGAACTAACCATATAGATTTTCTAACAAAAGTATACTACTGTGAGTCTGAGCAGCAAGATGTATAATTATTAATGAGCAGGGGTGATGTACTTTCCAGGCTGGATAAAGCTTAAAGAAATACAAATTGCTTACTATATTTTTCAATAGTTAAGAGTTCAAAGCATAAAGAAAACCTTGACAAAGGCAAAGCAATTCTTCATCTCTGGTATATCACCTAGATAATATGAATGAGGACGCCGCCATCCGCCACATGGAACGTTCACCACCTGTTAATACCATACATAATCATCACATCTATAATAGGTGACAATGGTATGCAGCAACAGATAAATTAACACAAATCTTAACTAAACAGAGTAAAGAGAAAAGGTAATCAAAGTACCTTATTCTCGTTAACTAAGTTCCAAACTATGAAATCTACAGATGCAAAACCAGCTGCATATCTGCTAGATGATCTATCAACAGAGTCGTTATCCATTACATGTTCAATCAAAGTCAACTCCTTCACTTGTTTCATCCCCGTAAATTGCAAATTTTGTGTTTCTTTATCATATTCAAGATAGCATATACAACCATCTGCTCCAGTCTGAACAAAAATTAAAATCAAAATAGAACACAATCATATATGCACCTGCAGCTAAAAATATTAAGAGTGCTCTTGATGTTATGGTTTGGCCAAAAGTTTAAATTTGGGTCACTAAAATTAGAAGGATGAATAGTTGAACATACTGAGCATATCTCAATCTGATTATAACCAAGCCTAGTCACAGAAACACTGGAGACACTTGAAATCCCATGAACTCCTTTGAAATGACTAACTGGAGGTATCTTCATTTCATGTGAAGCAGATGTGTCTGCCACCAGATCTTTTAGCAAAGGGAACAGAATCACATTACCACGTAGATCTCCACATGCCAGGACCTAAAAAAACAGATTTCCAGATTCCAAAGGAAATCCCATTTAAAAATTATAAACTACTTATATTTGTATGAAAATATTTTACAAGTCAAAATGAAAAATATCCCATGTCTCTGTTCCTCATGATTAGTAATTGAAGTAATTTTTGTTAAAATGCTATTTTAATAGCATCATAAGTCAGATTCCATCAAGCATCTTATTGTGTTCAACAGAGAATCAATAACCAACATTGAACATGTCAAAATTCCATCAACTCACTCCAATAGGAATAAAATGTTTCAAATGTAGAAAGTTCCTAATCCATGGATAGATGAATACCTCTTCCTCCATGCATATGTCCAAGCACATTATCCTCATTCCATAATTTGATATGAACTCTGCTATAAGTGACACATTATTACTCCTTGTTGAGCTCTGAAGATCAGGTTGTGAAGTATCAGGCAACCTCCAGAGTTTCAATGTTGCTCTAGGATCAGCTGTAAAGACATACCTACACAATTGAAATAAAGCTAAATAAATAAGAATAGTTTAAAAAACTGAATGGAGCAAACTGTTGAGGCGTGTAAAATATTGGTATCTCCCATTTCATAACATTAAATAGTATGTATGGTAAGATGAAACTATGGAATGATTATGCTTGACTTAGTATGAACTGTATGATTTCCTGTCAATCAGACAGAGAGATGTAACTTGAACAACATCAGTAATAAGTGTATTTCCTTTCCCTTATTAAAGTTTTCACAAAGGTGGAGACTGGAGAGTACATGGATTTTCTTTTATTTTATTTTTTTAATACACTCATTCTAATAGCAAGGCCAGGAAACTCGTCTGGTAGAGAATACAGAAGGGTAGACTAGATTCACACCTCAACAAGTAGTATCATGTATCTGTGCACAGTTTAAGCTCAAAGTATCCTGCCAGTAAGTTAGACACTATTATTGAAAGATAAAGTAAGGTAACTCGTACCTACAGCCCATGGATTTACACCAAGAAGTACCCAAGAGCTGTCTCTCCATTTCAGCTGGCCAAGTAAAGCTCAATCTCACTGTAGGATTACAAGCAGCATTAGTAACTCTAACAATTGTCATATTTCCTTTACCATCTCCAATAGCCATCCAATCCTCAGCACCACAGTCAATTTCAAATGAGTCCTTGGTTAATAAATCCATACAGATAATTGGTGCCCCATTGCTGACCTGAACAAGTTGATTCCACTGAACACCTCCAGCATCACATAATTTAGCATGATAGAGATAACCATGATTGGTAGCAACATAAAGAGAATCCTGACAGGAAAAGCGCATACAACGAACATATTCACTCTTGCTGCAACAAATGAGGAAGCAAAAAGGCCAGTCAACATGGAAATTAGTAAATACAACTGACAATGGACCCAGGCATGTCAAAAACATTTCCAAATTTTATAATTTTAGTTATCATCCCAAGTGAGTTTATTACATTTAATAATCCCACCTGTCCATAAATCCAAAATGCTCCACCACATTGGGGATGCAAATGGAAAACATCTCTGTCCTGTCAGGGGACTCTTGTGCTGCTTCCAAGCTCTTAGACAGAGAAGCATAAGGTCGATGTACTTTAATAGCAGAGTCAAACCCAGCAGTAATAAGAAGAGATGAATTTGGATCATACAAACATCTCCATATACCCCTTCCACTGTATACAGAAAAGAATGCAAACATTTCAGTATGTCCTCTAACTACTGAGATTGTGAAGCAGTAGACTTCTAGAATTGCAAGATATAAGGAAACAGAGCTTGCTTGTATTACACTATACCACACATCCAATCAATTTTACTTTTAGAAAGAACAGAATTAAAACGTCCATTTGAGGAAAAACTCAACATTCACGTTATGAAATTAACAAGTGAAATTTTTGAGTCTGGGATTTTAAGGGTTAACAAAGGATCAATGACTCTATTACAAGTTCACTAATAGCTGTTTCCTGTAGATACTGAGTTCACATAATGTCAGAAGACCAGACAATCAATTATCTTCAATCTTATTTGATTTGAGCCACATTCAAAAATTAGTAATTAATAATTTAATTCTCAATAATCAAGAATTCAAGTTTATGACTTACATGTGCTCCTTGATGACTTGCAGTTGTTTACCATCAACTCCCCATATACGACATGTACAATCCTCACTGACAGTGACAATCAACTGCAGAAATGCATGATTAGAAAAAGCGAGAATTCAATTCCAGAAGTCAATATAAATGGAAATATAAATAGACAAATAAACACAGTATGAGTACAATGTCAATATTGTCAATCCATTCAAAGCAGTATTGATTGTGGCTGAATTTAAGTACTAAAAAATGTTTTAGTTGTATATGGATGGCTTCATCACTTATAAAAGATAGTATTCATGCATGAAACATCTACACAAAAAATTAAAAAACAAGAATGAGTAGATAGCTGACCAAAATTGATTCAACAAGTGGAATTTATCATTACTGGTAAAAATTATCAGACATGTAAAAAAAATTAATTGATTATGTCAGAAAAAGCTCACTTCTTAGTGTAAAAAATTCACAAAAATGACAACTTAAGAAATAAACTGATCCTAAAAATTCAAGCTAGGAGCATATGAATGTCTTCAGAAATATACACATCAATTTTAATGCAATTACTGGTCAGCAACAATTTAAGGAACAAGTTACAAGCAATCCAACTTAAGAGGCTAAATCACTTGAAGCACAAATACGGAAGACAAATAGCAGTGAAAATCAAAATACTTGACAATAAAATCTATTTATGGAGTGGAGTTTATCTCAAAGGTAAATAGATTTTCTAATCAAATAAATTAAATCAAAACTGAATAATATGGTTTACTTGTAAGTAGCAATCATTAGAAGGGAAAATTGGTAAAACTCAAAAATTTTATGAAATGACATTATATAATAATTCTCCCTTTTTGGTTGGGAGAGTGGGGGAGGAGCCACAACATAATATAATGAATAAAAGCATAGGAAGTCAAACAATATCAGTGAAGATACTTTCTTAAGATGAAGTTTCAGATAAGTATGAAATGAAACGTCACACTCTTTTTTTATGGTTTCATTTATTAAAGACCCTACTTAACCTGAGAAAGTGAAAACTGAACAGCACTGAATGGCTTACAAAATCAGAAATACAGCAGTCCCAAACTCGAGCATTATGTCCAAATAAAACAAGGGCAATGGGATCATGACACAATGAATGTTCCCTTTCAATAGGAACAGCCCAGACACGTGCACTGCATTAATAAAAGGACACCAATCATGACATGTGTCATCATCTCTCTAAGAATGAACATAGATCAGGGGTACAACAAAACCTGAAAAATTAACTCACCTCCGGTCATCAGAGACAGATACCAGTTTAGCTCCACAAGATGACCATGCTATTCGGAAAATTGAACCTTCATGTCCAACAAGTTTACATACATGAACAGCCTCATACAGTTGATCTTTTAGTTGGCAGAAATTGGAGGATGAAATACTCCAACAATCTTGGTCTTCTCGGCTTCTTGAAGATTTATTGTGTTGAGGGGCCACTTTCCAAACAATAATCTGCCCAAACCAAACTCTTCAAAGTAAATTAAAGAAAATAGAAATGTGAACACATTAAACATCAGGGCATAACAAACTTTGACAGTAACAGGTATTTTAAGTATAATAGTTTTATGAAGAAAACCAAAGATAATATTCAAGTACAGCCAGCATATAGAGATACAGTGCAGAAAATAGACCTTTCATGTATGCACTCAAAAATAACTAATATAGTCACGTAGTGTCAAGTTATGCCTGTAGTTCAGCAATTATTGTTAATACTCCACCAAGATGATAGTTGGGATTAGCTTGAAATGTTTTGAGTGTTTTTCCATGAGATCTTTGGTGCTAGTCTATGGAAATCAAGCAGGATTGTGTCAACAGAAAAATGGTTATATTTGATCATTGTTATGGAGGCCTTTCCAGCCACCAATCTAGTGTAGCTGCAGAAGCTGAATTTAGAGTTACAAATATGAATGCAGATGGAGGATCTTTGAACTTTGATCCGTTATTAGGAATCTGGAAGCCAAATAATAGAAAAATGCTTTGGGGAGCGGGAAAAGGAGGGAATTTTCATTATGGAGGATTCATGCAGTGATCTTAGTTCACTTTTTATGATACATGCCCAATCTATCTTGGATCACCCCATAAAAATTCAGTATTAGATATGAGACTATAAAAAGGAAATGGCTGTATCCTTCCAAAGGTAGTTTAATTGTTGACAAGAGCATCTATAGATTTCTACCTCATTTTATGCTTCCCTTCTATTTCCCCTTTGTTAACATGAAGGCCAGGAAGCATTAACCACCATTACTAGGAGAAACAAAAAATAAGGGAAGGAATTCCATTCAGTGATTCAGCAAGAAACACGTTAGCTGAATACTTCATCTACAGATATCAGCCAGCGCGACTCTATTTTAGAAAGAATCAATGAGGGACTTGCTTGCAGGGTGAAAGTAAAGCATTTAAAACAAATTTAACATAATTCCTGTGACTCTTGTCCCACATTTTTCAAGCACAATTAGGAACATTAAATATCAGGACATCTCTTACCTCATTGAATATTGTACCAGATGCAATACGGAGAACTTCAAGATTGCGACCCCATAATCGCATTGAGTACAGAAGGCACCGTACTATGATCCAACGACAAACATTACCTCATTAGAAAACAATAATCAATAAAGAACCAATCCATGTAGTGAAGTTGAAACTGACCTGGAGATTGAACCTTAAGAACCGTATTAGAATTACATGCGTCCCAAACATGAACTGAATTATCACTACATCCTACAGCAAGAAACTGGCTCTCCACATTGGAATGAGGCAAGCATCCCTACTATCAAGTATCAAATTAAAAAGTCAAGTTAGAACAGAAGAATAAGCATTCGTTATTCCGAAGTCGAAATCCGATGAGTACTCACTCACCTTGAGGAAGCAAACATCCAAAACCCAGTGACCAAACTTTGGCAACAAATGAATCAGCGTTAACTGTGGGCTCTTAGAAACCCTATCAAAAGCGAAGCTAAATAGCTTAACTCTTGTCTCCCCAAACACGGCAATTACGGTTACAGAGGCATTGGTTTCTTGTGGCGAGCTAGAAACAATTCCGTGCACGCGAACTCCTTCGAATACGGAGAATGATTTCACGATCTTAACGAGTTCTAAGTTGTAGAGAAGAATTTCCGAACCCAAACCTGAAGGAAGCAATGAGGATGGTGAAACGAATGAAGTTATAGAAATTGAGCAACGGAAAGAGGTGAGAGGAAAAGCATACCAGCGAGCAGAAAAGGAAGAGAGTGATTGGGAAGATGAAGAAAACAGAGTGCTGAAATGTCTCCGAGGTAGGGGCCACGATTCACGCGCCATTCGCTTAATCTCTCCACTTCCATTTCCACCATTGCTCCATTCGCTGAATCCATTTGCCTACTTCAACAATACACCAGGGTAGGGTTTAAGCATTAATCCATTCAATTCATGGGTTTATAATAAGTTTGCACTTTTTTTTATTTTTCTTTTTTGTCTTTAGTTTGCAAGTTTTTTATATATTTTGGTTTCAGTGCAATTTTGCATCAAGGCAGATAAAAAAAACCATAGGCCCAACGTCATGGGGCCCTAATACCAAAAAACTATATGCATTTTAGATTACTTTTTATTCTTAATTGCATCGTTTTTTATTTTTTTGAAAATTAAGTTTTAAAAGTGTATTTAATATAAAATAATTTATAAGTTATTGTTTGAATCTATTGTTCAGAAAATATAATTTTTGAAAAAAAAATTCAAATTTAGTTTATAAAATGTATTTAACAAAATTTCAAAAATGATTTTTGAAAGTGAAAAAATAAAATGGAACGATACAAGTAGCAATAACATTTCTTCTTTTCTGCCCATTTCTTATGTGTAACACTTTGAGTTTGATGCGCTTGAGCCGTAAACAAAATTTGTGAGCATAAGTTATAACGCTTCTATTTATTTTTTTCTTATTTTCCTAATTTCCCAAAAGAAAAAAGTTTAACCATTGAACTTAATCATGTAAAATGCAATCTATTAAATGATTAGCACGAAAAACTGTTACACGGATATTACATTAAAGTTAAAACCATGGTCCTAAAATATAGGCAAAGAATTTATCTTATACTCCTGTATAGGGTATGAGGTCAAGTATTTTGCAACCCATTGAATAGCATAAAACACCAAATTACACGTCACAGACCCAATTGTTGCACGTGACTGAATTCTGTAACGTTTGACACAGACACATAATAAAAAGACACAATACAATAATGTTTTTATTATTTAAAGTTCAATACACGAAAAGACCTAAACATTTTATCTTATAAATATATAATGCATTTTAATTTTTATAAAATCATTTTTATTTAGTTACATTTTAAAAAATTATTAGTTTTAACTCCCCTTACTGATGTGACTATAAAAAAAAAACGTAACATACAATAATATATAAATTAGTCGGGTTATAATCAATAAATTTAAAAATATAATATTAAAATTGATCATTACTTTTATAAATATCAAAATTTTATAAATGATACATTTCAAAAACTTTAAAACACATTTTATTAATTTTTAATAAAAGTTTCTATAAAATAAGCTTTTAAATTAACTTTTACGAAATTGATGCGATTCCAATAAGTAAATAAAAAAAAATCATTTTGATTGAATAATATTTAAATTTAAAATAATTTTTCAAGAAAACAATTAATTTTAAAAAATAAAATTTCAACTTTTTATAAATAAAATTAATTATCGTTGTGAAATTATTCACATTTGTTTCAAATGTCATTCCCAAACACTTTTTATATCAAAATTGATTCTTTCAACGTGAATTCTTCTAAACACAGTTCTAAAATATAGATTAAACATACCCTTATTTTGTTTATTACTGAATTTTAAAAATAATCCAGACAGCCCAAAACAGCCGACACCTGGCCCGGCCGCAGAAGGGAATACAATTGCAGAAGAACTATGAGACTACACAAATCGCCACGCAAGAAAAAGTGCCACATGTTGCGTACAAACAGTACACACCTGGCTTGACATACTTTCATGTGAGCCCTTGATCAAAAATAAAACTCAAAATATATATCTCAAACCAAAACAAAAAGGAGCCCATTGCATTCGGCCTTCAGCACAACGACAAAGTACATATCCAGGTTGATATGCTGGAAATCTAACTTAAATTCGACACGGTGAAATCATTACTCTTTAGAGGCTAAAACCGAATCCATGTTTATATTACACAGTTCAACCAGGGCTTTTGCCAGCCAGTTCAACTGCGTTTGATATTCACGTTCCAAATCCACGGAGAACAACTAAGAGAAGAGTTTATGACCTCCCCCATTTCGCCAAACACCTCGCACAGGAGGCCCTCCTCCGGAGTCATTTTTGTTACCTTCTGAACTATCAATTGTTCCAGAATTTGATTCAGGATCAAGAAGAGCCGAAGCAGAACCGTCACCAAGACGCACTCTCAGGAACTTGGAAGTTTTCTTGCGTTGTTTGTTCCCACCACCCCCATCATCTCTATTTTGATTAGATAAACTGTCATTTGATGTTTCAGTCTGCCCACTAAGCTTTAGCACGGGTTGACTACCTGAGTTTGTATCCATCTGTTGCTCGATTGTTAATTTGCCTTTGTCACTGCGGTAATCACCCCTTGATAGCACTTCCACCTTCTCTTCTGAAGATTTATAACCTGCCTGTAGTTGATGTACAGTGCTTAGAAAGTTATCTGCTAATTTCTCGGTCGAGTTACTCCCCCTACCATCTACAGACTTACCTTTGCCTTTCTTGTTTACGTTACTGTTTTTGCGATGGTTGCTACTGCTACCTCGAACCCCGCCATTTTCTTGTAAAGCATTCTTTTGCAAACTAGTGTTGTAAGCATCAATAAGCTCTTTCTGCTTTTGAGTATCTGGACACAGTCTTGCCAATTCCAGCACAAGATGAGACAAGCCAAACTGCTGCACATAGTCAAGGTATGTACCTGTATCTATTGTGCCTTGGCGATATTGGGCAGATATGTCTTTAAATATAGTGTATCTTTCTTCATCAAAATCAAGCGCACCTCGGATCTTTTCAACCAAGGTCTTGTTTGCAGACTGAACATTTTCCACGTTCAATAAAGATTGGCTGCTCGCAGGTAACTTACTCACCTGTGCAGAAGAAACTGGAGGAAAATCTGAAATTGAAACTTCAACAGAGTTACTCTCAACGAGATTTGGAGCAGACGCAGAGTGAACAATTCTGCCATTGTCACGTGCGTCCCTCAATGAACCAGCAGTTCTCTGTGTAGCCTGAATAGAACCAGCATAAGTTGATGGTGGAAGTCCACTGTTAATTACTGTCTTCACCTGACCAGAGTTACGAGACCCTCCAAGAGCGTTGTTTATTGACAGTTTAGATTGTGAAGGATTACTTGATGATTGTACTGGTCCACGACCTGCTGCTGGCCAAGCATTCCCAACATTAATAACAGAAACATTTCTCTTGCCATGCCGGCGTAAACGTGCAGCCATAGTGTTACCAGCGGAACCCTCCAATTCATGGTTGGACCTTTGCTGACCATTGCTGGAAGCTATGGGAAGTGGCGGAAAGGAAGAATCTTCCAGAGGTGCACTCCTAGAGTTTTGCCCCAAGGCTTGAAGGTATCTTGCAGATGATTCAGAACCTGCTGTAGCTAATGATTCAAACGGCTGAATGATAGAATCAATATCAGCATTCTCATCATCAACAGCAACTTGCCCAGTACTTGATGTCGGGAGATCACGAAACGTTTGCTCTGCATTAGCTGTCTCCAAACTGGCCTCTATGGCCATAGAAAGTTGATTTTCAGAAAAATCACGACGAAATGTACGACCTCTTCCGCGGCGTTGATCATGTTCATTACCATGTCTGTATCGGAAGCTAGTTGGTATCTGTAGTAGAAGAATGAAAGGTACAGTAACTTCTGTAAGGGAGTGAGAAGGATCTAAGAAGTAAGTAAAATTTGCCGTTGAAAACAAACATTATAAAAAGACATGAGAAGAAGTTCAAAAGAAAAGAATGTCATTGTACGTGCCTGAAGAGCAGCATTACGCTTTGATCGTGACATACGCCCTCCATGTTCAATAGCATTATGCCTCTAAACCATAAACAAGGAAAAATAAGTTCAACAACGAAGGAATGACGCCAAAACAACAGCACATCCAATAATTTTACATAAGCACGGGGCAACATCAAGCAAGTGCATGTAAACAGCATTCAAAACAAACAGAAAAAGATCCATGCTTTATAATTAATCAGTCACCTTCATCTCTGCTTCAGATTGAAAAACAACAAATTTCTTAGCAAGGCAAGACTCATCTTCACATAAAAAGTGCTCTTGACGAAAGTGGATCTGCACGAGAAGACATTTGCTAACATAAATACTCAGTTCAAACAACACAAAACATCTTGCAAAGCCATTAAGTTAATAATAAAGTAAAAGAAAAGCCTAATCCAGATATCTTGCCTCTAGGTCATCATAATTCTTATAGTATTCATAGTGCCCAGGATGCTGCCTGCATTAAGAAGTACAAATACTATGAATCTTACATTTAAAATACACCTATTGAGCACAAGATTAATTATTTGTTACCTTTGGCATATATGACAAGTGTAATGTTCCGTGGACATATGCGTGTATAGTTCATTGTCCCCATAAAATGGGGTTCTGCAGAATTCACACATGGGATGCCCCATAAAACCACCCCTCTCACTCTCATTTCCATCCACCTCAGAATCACCTGTGCTTATGTGTTGATTCAACTGTGCTCTAGTATATAGTTTTTGCTCACATATAAAAACCTGTCATGTAAATGATGGTTACATACTAACAGAAGATTAGAAATCCTGTTATTCCAGAAATTCTTAAGGGGAATAAAATAATAAAATTTCACCTTCCTTCCCTCCAAACACAAACTGCACATATGCAACTTATGACGATGGAATAAGTGACCCTTCAGCTGCCCTATATTCCTAAACTTTGCTCGCCTCCTTGATGCATCCTGTGGTTGCTCCTCCATCTTGTCACATACACTGCAAGAAAGCCTGCACATGGCCTTGATCATCTTGTAATGGTCCACATCATCGAAAAATCCATTTGTATCCTCGTGGTACCAGTATGATCCAACCTTGCCCTCCCTTACCTCCACAGGAAGGGCCGAAAAGTCATTTATCATCCTCGTATAATCACCTAGAGCCTGGGAGTATGCAGAAAATTTGAATATCAACGACACCAAAAAATAACAACAATTAAACAATACAAAATTTAACAAATCAAGCCCCACTGTTGAGGTATTAATTAAACAAACACAACAGGCTCTTAAAGGCTCAAACCAAGTAAGTTCAAAATGTCACGAATATTTTTCAGTGGTTTAGAAATAGTATGAAGTAAAAAAAAAAATCAAAGACAAAACACGCATAGCAAACATTTAAGTTTAAACAACATACCTACACATCATCACATTAGTTGAACAACAAAAAACTCCATAAAACAAGCATCCCACGTTTAAATACATATTAAATGTTCATAATTACACTAAATGTAGAGAGACAAAAAAAGAAGCAGCGCAAAGACAAGGTAAGTGACGGTGATTTTAGTAGTGCAACTTCACAAAATGTTCCAAATTAAGAATACACTCTAATCTCAGAACAACCGCAACCTGTTCAGAGGTGTGAACGGTTCTCCACTGCATACATAAATATTAAAACAACAGCTGGGAATGTAGTACAGTTCAGATTTTCACTCAACCAACTCAGAGCACGACGAGTAGCGAAGACTCGTCACTTAGGGAAACAGGCATAAAACAACTCATCGAATCAATACATAACAAACAAACAGCTTTTACGGGGAAAGAGAGCATTGACAATAGGGAATACCTTGGTAACGAAAACGATGTTGCATTCGGTCTTGCAGATGCAGCAACGACGATCATCGCAGATGAAACGGAGGCGAGCGACGCACGTGGAGCACACATCCCGGTGCAAACAGGGTCCATACGCAACCCATTCCAAAGGCTCAGCGCAGACGGCACAACAGTCATCCATCTCTTCTTCACTCTCTTCTCTTGATTATCGAACGCGAAAAGCAAGAAACCCTAATTCCAGTGCCCGGATCACGACACAAGGTTAGGTTACTGCAATAAGTAGAGAGGGAGAGATAGAGAGAAGGATCGATTGGGATTCTAGGGTTTGAAACGATTGATCTTGATTTTAAATTGTTGATTTGAATATTGGAGTGTGGATTGCGAGATGCGTGGGGCGGAAGAAATTGATCACCGGAAGATTGAAGGTTCCGAGAAGGATCAGATGAAGAAAGAATTTATGCGATGTGTGTGCGCTTTTTAAATTGGAGATAGAAAGAAGGGCTAAAGACCACAGCCACCCGCTACCGCCTCACCGAACCCAACCCCCTCTCAGCCTCGCTCGCGTTTCTGTCTTTTTCTTTCTTCTTTTTAATATTCTTGTGTTACAGATAATAAAATAGTAACTATAAAGTGTATTATTACAAAATTTTTTCTTTTTTAATATTTTATCAAGAAAATAATAATTAAAGTATAAATATATTTAATGTTTTTAAAAAAATTATATTTATTTGTTTTTTATTTAATAAGATATCGTAGACAGATTTAAAATTATTTATCTGTAAATATATCAAATATTTTAAAAAAAAGTCTACAATTTAATTTAGATTTTCGTTTCTTAGGTTTTAAAAGTGGAAGCTTTTAATCTTACACTATAACGAATAACGAAAGAAATAGAAAAAACAAATCTAAGAAAAGGAAAATGATCAGAAAAGAGAGAGAACATTTTTAACTTATTTCATTTAAAAGAAACAGGAAGAACAGTTAATATACATTTTTACTTGTTTGGTTGAATAAGAAAATAAAAAATAATAGTATACATATACTTTTATTTGTATATTAAAAATTATTATAAATTTTTGAAAAATTTAAGAAAATAAGTATTTTTTATTTGTTAAATTATATAAAAATTAACTTGGTATATATTTTTCGTTTAGCTGTTTCCATTTTACCAATTTATTTGGAACTAACATTACTGTTGTAGTAAAGTGATTCCCGCCTTACTCTTTGTTTTCTTGTAGAATTATTGGACCTCTTAATTTTTATATCGTATTTCTAATCAAGTAATGATATTTGTACCAGTTTAGATATTCTCCAATTATTTGATGGATCCGGAGGAGTTTTTTCGTATTCATATAATCAACATTTTGATGAAAGAATATAAAGGAGACAAAAATAATAAAAAAAATTCAGTTAAATGATATGATATAATAAAAAAATTAAGAAAATGAAATAAAAAGTATTTCACAAGTACATAAATATATTTATTTTTTGTTTGATGAAGTAAACAATACTTAAAATATTATTTTTTTTATTTTAGTGTATGTTAAAATTTTGTTTAATTTTAATCTCTAAAAGAACGCAATTGTTTTTATCTATCAAACTACTTTATTTGATTTCTTTAGTTATATTGGCCAATTGTCTTGTAAAACGTGGTTGAATTTACCAAAACCATCGTACATTCACAACTGTCAATGAAAAACCCTTAACCTAGGCGTAACTTCTCATTATTATTAGGTCTTTTTTGGAATGTATCGTATACAGAGAAACGTAAAAGAAAACTTCTCCCTTGTATTTATTATTATTATTAATTTTTTAAATATTTTTATTTTTAACATTAAATCTTATTTTTAAACTGCATAAATTAATTTTTACTTCTCAAATTAATCTTTTTTATGATAAAATATTAATAAAAATAAGGGAGAAGAAGTGCCAACAATAATAATAGTTATGGCATGACAGAAATAATGATTATTGTGATGAAAGTGATAGTTACTGACTAATGGTTGTTAGTTTGACTTTAACATTAATAATGGTTAAGGAGTATAATAATTGAAAGATTTGTTTTATAATTAAAAATTGATATTAACTATTTTCTTTAAAATTGAAGGTAAAATTATTTTGAAATAGAGTTAAAAAAAAATTCAAGTCAATTTAATTAATACCATTTAATTTAAAAATTTACATTTAAAAATTAAAGTCCTCTAACCGTTAAAATTTGAATTTAATTTTAGTATATTATTAGTTCAAAAAATTGTATACCATAAACTAATTAAAACATATTGTAAATATAGTTCTTGTATGGATTATTATAGTAAACCATCGATATAAATTGTTCATACAACAATCCATGATTTGATGACGACATAAAAATTATAAACATTTTTAGAGTATTTAAATTAAATTTGTCAAAAAAATTTACACAACTTTATTTTTCATAATTTTCATTTGAGGTTTGGTCAATAAAAATTAGAATTGGGTAATTAAAAAGTAATTTGGGCAAACTAGAACTGTTTGATGTGGTTTCTCTAGTTAATTAAGTTGAAAATTTATTTAATAAAAATTTATATAAAAAGTTAACATAACTGTGATATTTTACTTTTAATCGAAAAAAAAAACATTAAAAGTTCTCCCACGAATATGTTCTAACTTTTTTGTGTTAGTATGGCCTTAAAAATGCTTGAGGGAACAATCTGGGGAGAATCGTAATTTTTGCTCGCACTATGAGGGAATACACGCCATAGCAAGGGATGTGAATCACGGCCAAGCATAAATACCTGCATAGAAGGTTAATTAGTGAAATCATTTTCTTGCATGAAATGGCACAAACAATTGTAGTGTACTCACCAAACAGGAGCCCACTTGGAATTAAGCTCTAGAAATGGATATGGCCACCTGTTAGGGAACAGAACACAAACATATCATTACAGCAGATGTAGAAGAAAGCTTTTGGCTGATTTTGGAGATTGAGTTAAATACAATTACAATACCATTTAAAACCATAGGCGTGGATGATCCATTGAAAAATGACGTAACCACAGCTCCATAGAACAAAATAGGCGATTCTAAACCAAGGAAATGGCTAAAAAACAATGCGGCAATACCAAAGCCGTGAGTTGGATAAGTGCCTAATGCTTTCTTAAATTTATTGAAGGGTGTATGAAACTTACGAGATTATTAAGAGCTGTATCCAACAGGAGCAAAGCTACATTCAATGCATGCATGCAACCCATCAACTGACAAGAGTAGCCCAATAAAAATCAATAACACTATCTTTCTTAGAAATAGTATGGACAAAATTAATTATAAAGGTTTTGATGAGGATAACGGCAATGACTAGATGAAATCAATTTGTGACTTGTAATGCAATCAATCTACAGAAACAGTGAATGAAAGGAGAAATATGCACTAAGAAGAATATTTAGTTTGCAGAAGGGTCACACTCACCGGGCTTAATCTTAAATGAGAATTTGATAAGAATGGGACTATAAGACACCAAAATACAATGTCTGTTAGGATGGCAGCTCCTGCACATGTCTGTTAAATGCAGCATATCAATTCAAACCTCTGACAAACTAGGATAAAAATAAAATAATAAGAGTGGGAACGTTTCACTTCACCCTTTCCCATAAGTACTGACAATTATCTCAATATCTCTACCAAACCTCTGAATCCACCATTTCTCATACCTTGACTATTTCCAGCAGCTCTTTTACAGCACTTCAAACTCTCCTATAATTTCTTATTGAACACAAATTTATTTAATATCTTGCATACTGCGTATAAATACAAATAAAACAGGAATTTGACGCTAACCCAAACGCAGATAATTCAACTAATTGAAATTTGCAAGCTTTTGCTAATACATTTAGGCCTAAAATGAGGCATAAACCGGGGTATTTGCATTAACCATCTACCATACCACTTAACCCGTACGAAACAGCCCATCATCAAGTAACTTTTCATTTAATTCTATGTGTTTGACCAACCTGATATGTAGTTTGCACGAGGTAACCCCAAAACCCTGCTCTTTGTTGAAACTCCTCTTCAACATATCGGCTTTGCAACTTGATGGAACCCTTGGTTTCTTTCTCTTGATAAGCATTGATATTTGTAGGCATGGTCTCTTCTATATCCCTTTTCAGAAACTCAGCCCTTGCTCCATCTCGAGGAGAAGGTTTGTTATAGAACTGCCAACATCCATATGCAGATAAAATACTCCCTAGCTGCATCCAAAGTTTCAAAAAAAGTAATAAATGCAAAGTAGATGCTAATTATAGAAACATGAACTGTTTTATGCGCCTTCTACTAACTCCTACTTTCCTAGAGAACATATATAATCTCCCAGTGCATTTTTTTCGATAACGAATTTAAAACAAGGGATTTTGGTTCTTGTCATACCGCAAAATATATGGTAACCAACGTGAAAGTCCACCTGCAAATAAATCAATACAATTAAATGGTCTGCATAATTATATAAGAATCATACAAATACCCCACAATTAGCATGTTATATTAGAATTTTAAAGATGAATTCGATCCAAGAGGGTAAGAAAGAATAATCTCTAAGTAGTGGCATGTTTATCTAAAAGATTTGAAGTCATTTTGCTTGTATACCCTTTAACTGGTTCTTAACTCACCAATGTGTAACTTTTTATTATCTAACATGTAATTCAATTTCTTCCAGAGTTTTATACTAAAGGGAACACATGGAGCATTCAATTAAGAATTGCACTCATATAAGAATCATACAAAATCTCTACAGAATTAGATAGCAGTAAAGATTGAAAGAGGAGGACATACTCAGTGTAGTACACAAAGATGCTTGCATCGTATAGGAGAAGATCCCAGAGTAAGAAGAGGATCATGATGACAAAGGAAAAGAAACGGGTAACAAGGAGGTAAAAAGGGTGTAGTCCTCGCCAACAACTGGTCCATAGTTGTGAGGTGCTCACATGGCCTCTGGGCAACACATTCACGACCACTTCATTGTCAGGTCGAGACAACAGAAGGCTCTCATATGCGCTGTCAAAGTCTCTTTGGGAGGCTCCTTCGTTCATTCCCAGCACACACAAGGCACCTATAAAAGCCATCCCAACTATGCCAAAACACACAAAATCATACCATGCTACCTCCAATGCCATGATTTTTTGCCAATTAGTTTGGTAGTTAACCACCACCCATAGACACCCCCTCTTCTATGCAACAGCAAAGGGGAAAACGGTACGGAACACAAGCTTTGAACTTGCCACTTAATTAACCACTAAGTACCAAGCATACACATTTTTTAGGCGTGTTTTTCATAAGGGACTGGTAGTTTAAGTTTGACTGTCAAGTTTGCGATCTTTATGCCCAACTTTGACAAAAAGGTTACCAGGATTCAGACACATTGGAATTTGGATGCGACACTGTTTCAATGTGGATGCAAAGGGGAAAATGAGTTTTAAAATTGTAAATAAAATATAGCAACAAAAGAACTAAAAAATAGAACAGTATAAATACTCAATTAAGGTCAGTTTTTTATAATTTTATTTTTTAATTTATTTTTATCATATTACTCGTCTTATTTGATATTTTCTTCACTTTTATTGTATAATATTTTGTACAAAGTTCATGTACAAATGCATTTTTCTATTTTATATAAAAAAAATGTAATTCCAAAAAATTCCTCTTCTTTCCTGTTTAACCTAGATGGAGAAGAGCGACGGAAGAGTGGTTTTAAAATATGGGTGGCCTTTTGTAAGTAACATGGGCTTCAGCATATTGGGCTCATTAAGTTGTCATGTTATGCCTATTTATACTCGTTTTGCTATGGGTTTCTGACTTCTCGCTGTCCTGTCTTCTAGCCATGTATTTATTGAAAACAATATTCAAAACAATGAAACCGTTAAAAATTATAGAATATAAATGTGTAATGTTAAATAATAAAAAATATGTAAATATAAATAATATATGTGTAAGTGCGAGTACATATAGTATTATTTGTTCATTTTTATATTACTGCTTTAGGGTCAATAATTTGTCAATCTAAGAAATGTGAGTGGTTTTGACCAAAAAAAGAAATGTGTGGTTTGATATAAATCGTCTGTCACTGGATGGCTTCATATAATGCCTATTTTTATTTTTATTTTCTGTTTTCCATTCGGTTGACTTCAATAATATTCCACAGCTGTGATATTCTCTTTTAAGTCTTCATTAAAAAACACTTAGCTAATTGCATTGCAAGCGTTCATGAACAATGGTTTCTCAATAAATATCATTACCCACTTCAACACCATGTATTGCTGTCATGGCCTTTACTAATTATAGCATTTATTATTTTTCTATATTCGTGTTATACTTCTAAGATGTACAACTATTTGGACATTCTTATTATATTATGAAACTTTTAGGGTTAACCCTAACTGGTGCGCAAGAAAATGTGTACACGTACATTTATCATTTATTAAATGTTCACGTGTTTCTTCCTGCAGTTGTGGGGTTGACAAACGACAAACTGATTAATTAGATTAATCACAACAAAGTCTCTTCCCTCAGCTTAAGTGCTATTGTATATAATTTTCATCATGTGCCTGTGACGCAAGCATGAAGTGTGTTCTTTTTCCACCACCCTAGCCATGTAACCAGTTGTTATCAACTTGATAATGTGAGGATCTTAAATGCTTAGATAATAAACAGCGGTTGAGCAATGCCAGCAAAACATCTTTAAAACACCTTAATTTGTATGAGTTCTGTTTTCTCTTTAATAAAATTAAGGGTATTGCTAACTAAGTATTTTAAGTATATTAATTAAAAATCATGTTCAATTATATTAAAGATCATAAAAATAAGTACATTAAATTTTAAGAAAAAAAAACTTTATTGTTAATTTCTTAATCAATACCTCTTAAAGCACTGATTAACATTTACTTAACAAACAGGACAAGGATCAAGACTGAATAATATATCTTAATTGTCTTTACTTAGTTAGTTCCCAAATGATTTCGCAACTATTAGTGACTAGTAAACCTTGAGCCACACATGACACGACCGTGGTTTCCTTCTGGTCTGTGTGCCGCATAACAGTACATGAATAATTTTCAGGGCCTGCTTGTTCGTGTACTCTTCACTTTTCATCAGTTAAACAATTTGAGATAGCTACAAGCTTCCAAGCAAATTGAATCTTCAAATTGTAAATATCAATGCCGAAATCAAACTTGTGTAGTGGTCTTTAGTGGCCGACAACTTCGCCTCAAATGACAATATTTTTCTAGACTATATTATAGACATTTATACGTTAATGCTTCCCTAATAGCATTTAAATTAGACGTATATATAGTACTTCCCAACTAGCATTTCAATATACGCAGTAAAGTTGATTTGAAACGACAGAATATAATTGAAAGTGTTAATATATCTTGTTTCAGTGTTAAATGTTCATTAGTATATTCTTAGTATATACCCCAAAAAAGATCAGAAAATAAAATTAACTTTGACTTCATATGCGACACACTATATAACATTAGACTTATAAACAAAACTACAAAAACAAGAAAAGCGGGGGGGACAAGAGGGGGACAAAATACAAAAGATGGGGAATGGGGAGGGAGTGAAACAGTTGAAGCTAAGAACCTGAAACCCAAGAAAAGTTTAGAAAGCAAATAGGCTTTTGAGCCAAAAGCAGACAAGGTTGATGAATTTATGATTTGAAAATACAATGAAAGGGAGACATTGCAGAATTATTTGTAGAGTGCAAATGTAAAAGTTCCGGTAACAAAGTTTTTTGACGCACAGCATGACATCATGTAAACAGTGTGGAAGAATAACTACGCTTAATCACGGAGAAGCCACCATCAACCACCAAGTTGTGGCCACTAACGTAAACAGCTTCATCAGAGGCAAGAAACAAAGCTGCTTCTGCTATATGCCGAGTCTTCAACACAACACCCTTAAGATTAGCCTGAGAGCAACTATTAGCTTCAACTTGATCAGGTTCAAGATTGAATGTTCCACATGTGAGAGGTGTGGCAACCCCAAAAGGGGATATGCTATTAACTCTTATTCCATAAGCTCCAAGCTCACTACAAGCTGATTTCACAAGACCCAAAAGAGCATGTTTTGATGTGGTGTAACCATGAGGACCCGTTCCACCAATGGAAGCAGCAACACTAGTGGTGCATATGATGGATCCACGGATGCTTTTGGCAACCATGGCACGTGCAGTGTGCTTAATTGTGGCAGCTACACCACGAACATTTGTAGCCATGGTGCTGTCAAAGTCATTCAGATCAAGCTCAAGGATGCCACATAAGGACCCTATTATTCCAGCATTACTGAACAAGATATCTATGCGACCATGTTTTTCCAAAGTGTATTTCACCGTTTCTTCAACTTGATTTTCATCTCTCACATCACAATGGTGATATGTCACTCTTTCTGAGCCTACTGAAAGTGCAACTTGGCGACCTTGTTCATCTTGAACATCTGCTGCAACAATAAGTGCTCCATGTTCAGCAAATAATCTCACTGTCTCTTCTCCAATCCCACTAGCTGCCCCGGTGATAAGAGCCACCTTACCCTCTAATCTGAAACATGATTAATCATATCAAGAACAATCAAATCAACTAAATAATCAAAATTGACCGGATTATATATAAATCAAAATGAACAAAATTAACTTTGAAACTATATATGATGTTACACATACACAAAAAATTTAGAGTAAATAAATAAAAGGGTGCAGAGCTGAATCTGAGATAGACCAAACTAGGGGCACCTTTGCTTCGACATGGGGTATGACCAGTGAGTGAATAAGTTCCTTGTTTGAATGAGCTCTCCCCAAAACCTGGAAATAAAGCTCTTGGAGTATCCCTTAATAAGAACCTATATTTATAACGTTTGTAGAGTGCAAAGCTCCAAATATATGTTGGCCAACTAACTATTGCAATGTTCATAATAATCGTCATTAAGTATTAACAATTTGTCTTATTGATCTTGTGTTTGGAAAATATACTTAATCAGATTTCTTGTAGTAAGTGTTCAAACTAATTGAGACTAATCGTCTTTCGTTGGTTTCTTCTTTTTCAGCATAATGCATTTCTTAAGTACCCATTATCAAATAAATATGTACATGAACTGTAGCTGAAGAAATAAATTTGATTGTGCATTCAGTATTTATGTGAATTCCACGTTTCCAACTAGGTGTATAGCATATAAAATTCATTACACTCTGTTTCGAATCACATGGCCTTCATCATGCTTTTAATGTACAGTTGAAAGGTCAAGCATTCCAACTCGTACAGGCTACACAATATTATTCACTTTTTTTCTCATGCAATCATACTATTATACAATTTAATTATTTTCCAGATGTTTAGTGCTTTATTATATAATTTCATGCTGATTAAAAAAATAATTTCGCCCCTTTTTCAGGTAAAAATGAAAGTGTAGAGACGTCATATGCACTAAATACTGATCATATAATCGATTATTTAAGTTAAATTTATATTTATAAAGAGTCAATTCAATCATTGTTTTTAAAATATTATGATCTACGAAGAACATATAATTTTATTCAGAGTCTTTGTTGAAAGGTCACTTTTGTGTTTGAGACATGTGTATAATATACGAATGCTTTAACGGAGAGCAACAATACTTGTGTAAACTTTAAGCTCTATATAATTGGACACAAATTTTTTCTATATAATTAATTACATTTAAAAAAGTATTATCACACTGTGAAACTAAGATACGCACACATGTAGTTGTCACTGATTATAAGCTTGAATTTGTGTACTAATATTGTTTATGTTAGGATTGGTTTTCCAAAAGAAACACGCAAGTCATGTGGTTCAGGCTACCTTCTTTCTTTATTAAATAAAATCAACTAATTACGAACAATATCATTTACAGTATTAACATGTAATTTTATGAATACAAATTATGTGTAATTTTAGTCTTTTTAATTTAAATTTTTTGTAGTCTAAATTTTATATTTATTTAAGTTCAGTCTCTTTCTTCCAAAAATTCATCTAATTAAAAAATGTATAAAATATTCAAATAAGACATAAATAATATAATAAAATTATTTTATTTTTATTTATTTATTTAATATAATATTTGTATATAAATTAAAATAGATCAATGATATGTCATACATTTATTTTATTTTTCATTAAAATAAATTTTAAGTTAAAAGAACACTTTAAAATTTTAAAAATTAAATATAAACAATTAAAATTATAAAAATAAAAATCACAGATAAACTAAAATATAATAACTGTGTATATATTTATCAGATCATATCCTTGTGTAAATCTGTGTGAGTAAGCATTTGCATTTTATGTAAATTATTGCTTAACGTGTTTAGAATAACGCTTGATTGTTGTGCATATTTGTATTAAAAATAGTATCTCACATTAGTATGAAATGTAAAAATAAAACAAGATAAATTATTATTAAGTAATAGTAATTGTATAAATTCAAACCTCCTTGTGCTCTTTTTTTCTTTCTAATACGTAATCTTTATTATTATTTATTTTTTATACTTGTAAAAATAATTAAACTCTAAAATACTTTCAATTCAAAATGATTACTTTAAACCTCCTTTTTTGGGTTAAAGTTTTATTTTATGTATTGAATCTGAATCAATACTCTCAAATTATTATTATTTTCATTTCCTTAAAGTTTTCCTTTTTTACCTAAATCCTAATTTATTAATTTTTTATTCAAATTAATTACGTGTTTTTTATAAATATTTAATATTTAATTTTAAAAATTAACCAATTTTAAAATTAACTAAAACAGGTTTAAGTTTAGGAAAAGGCCCTATTCTTGACAAGGTTCTAATTTTCACTGAAGCTATTTTTTTTTTATGAAAGGTATTTGTTGAAACTAAAAAAGAGAGAGATATACAACTACAAAATAATTGTTAATGTAAAGCAACACGTATTTAAGTATTCTCGGATCAGATTAACGTAATGATGTACTAATCAAATTAATCAATTAGTACGAAAGTAATCGGTTTGTTCATTAGTCAAAATTTAATTAATAGTCTCTCCCTCCCCCAACGTCCCAACATTATATATTGTTTGTAATGTGTTTAGATAATTATTAAAACCATAATTCATGTTATAAATTTAATAACATAATTTATTATAATATATAAATAATTTATTTTATAAGTCATAGACAATAATTATTAAAATAAGTTAAAAATAATTTGTAAAAGTTATAATTTTTTTAAAATTGTTTATTAACTCATACAAAATCCCATCACTTTTTTTTTTCAACTTTGAAGTTAATATTTTTTATAAAAAATGTACAAATATTTTATTCTATAATTTAGTGTAATTTTATCATAATTTTCAATTAAAAGTTACAAATTTTGTTCACTATTATCGTTAAAGTACTTATTAATAGAACTTTGAAAAGAAAAAAAGCACAGAAATAAAATTTGGATGACCCACACATGACGCAAGTGAAGTTTGAAAGAAAATCTTGAAAGTATATATATATATATATAAAGTAAAACTTATTAGTGACCTACAAGGCCCACGGGGCCTATTGGACAAGTTTGTGTGTTGTGTATGATGTCCACAGATTAAGGCCCACAGGGTCAATCTGTAGCCTTCTTCTGTATTTGGGCTCCAAAACCATGCCTTTCAATTACAATTTACATATAAATTTGCAAGTGTCAATGTGATTCCCCCTTTCTTTTTTTCTAATAAAAGGACTTTCAAGCACAAGAAAAACACAAATTAGGTCTGAAATATTTATCTAAAATAAGAAGTTAAAAGAAAAAGCAACCTTATCTAAAATATTACAATAAAGAGATTTAATATGAGCCGTATCTAATTTTGAATGCAAGTTTTTTTAGTTGTGAGAAATATATTTTATTAAGCAGTGAAATAAAATAGTTTACTAATTGCTATAAAGTTAAAAAAGAGATATTTATGTTTTTGGTCTAGTGTATTAATATATAGAAAGAGAAAAAAAAAACTTCTCACATTAATATAAATTAAAAAAAATTTATAATTAATTTGAGTCTTTTATTTAATTTATATTTAACGATCAGTATAATAATAAATTATAATCTATTAAATGCAAGTAAAATAAAATATTTAGATTAATTGTAAAAAAAATTAGATTTACATTAATATGAAAAATTACTGTCTCATATATTTATATATATAAGTATTTACTTTATCATTTGAATGGCTCTTAATTAATGTTTGGGTAATTAATGAAAAATGTATTATAATATTCATATAATTACATATTTTCTTGTAAACATGCACACACGTTACATGTATAAAAAATATTTTTATGTATTTATCATCTTTTATAATTATAGTTTTTAACATTTTTAGATATTTGTCTGAGCTTAATTACATATTGCATTTATAGTTAGTACTATATGCTTCGTCAAAAAAATTTTAAAAAAAATTACTCACTAAAATAGCAATATTGTTTTATGAGATTGTAAAAAATATATATATCCTCTGAATATGTGTATATATTAACCAAATATAAGCATAAAAATTAAAGATTTTATCACGTGAGATATAATTTTAAATCAGATAATTTTCTTACAGGAAAGAACGAGGATAATGTTTTTAATATATTGTCTATTGGTATAGAAGTTCATAAGGGATACAAATCGTGTTTCTATTGCTAAAATGATTCTATAGCCATTGAAGGAGTATGTTATAAATTATAAATATTTAAAATGAATGATACAATAAAAATTCGATTAAAAATGAATGCAAACATTTAGTTAGTGTGTTTTATTTTATTGATTTTGTATTTTATTATGAATAATTATAGAATAGTTTTTTTTTTATAGACAAAATATACATAACTAATTAATATGACTATTATTTTTATTTTAAAAATTGAAATTTTAAAATCTGCAAATTCTCTATGATTCATATATTTAAAATTTTATAAGTGTAACTATTATGTACACTACACAAATTTTTTAAATTAATTTTTTAATAAATAAATAAAATTATATTGCATGAATTCTTCAAAAATTTTATTAATTTTTTTAACTATAATAAACAAGACTGACATAAAAAAAGTTTTTAAAATTAAGAAATATATCATGAAAACTTTAAATATCTAAAAATAAAAATAAGATTAAACTCAAAATGATAATAAATATAGAAAAAGTCACTCAGCATAATTAAAAAGTAATTTTTACTTAATATAATTTTTTATATATGTGCTTTTCAATAATTTATTATACTGGTTAAAAGGTTATGTAATTCTCTTACATGCTTTATAATCTTTATACACATGCATCTTATATACATGTAATATATGATTTTTAATTTTATAATTTTTTATTTTATATCAAAACAAATTATTATTAAAAATTTAAAAATATGACTTTATATTAAAAAAATACTATAATATATTAAAGGACATAAAAAAGTGATAAATTTGCGTTGTAATTTTTAAAAATAAGCTAAACTTTTAATGTAAACAAAAGGAAAAAAAATAATTAAAATTAATAATGTGGTAACAAGTAAAAGAAAATAAACTTATAAAACCCTATTTTACTTAAAATTAGTATTGTGATATCACGTAAGGGAAAATAAACTTACAAACTATCGCATTTTTAAGGATTAGGAAGACGACAGATAAATATGTAATGGTGGCAAATATATTTATATTTTAACATTAATTTTATTTTAGAATGATATTAATAAAATACAATTTTATTAATACTTTTAAAATATAAAATTGTGGCAGATATAATATTTGAAATATCATTATAATATATATATATATATATATATATATATTATTTTTTATTCGATGGGACTGGGACTAAAAGCTAAAAAAAAATTGAGATAGCTAATACCCAAAGCATTCAAACGTAATAATAAAAACGAAATAAATTATATTAAAACAAAAATCTATACATCGAATCTGGTCACGAGTCCCTATCAGACCAAACATGACAAGATAGAAGCCCCCACGTACGACACTGCACCCTATCTGTTTACCGTAACACTCAAAAGTGTATTTATCAGAAAAAAAAAGAAAGATAACACACTCAAAAGTCTCATAAATAATTTTTATTTCTGAGCACAAAAAAGAAAAAAAGAACAGCTTCGTTTTTTCCAAGATGCGTGATTGATTTTAATTGGATATATCAGAAGTAGATGCTGAACGAATAAACGATTCAGAATAATTTGGATGGAAGCCCACATTAAACTCTTTGCAGAATTTTTTTATTTCATCACACACAAGAGAATAATTTGAACTTGTAAAATGCAAACTTAATAATGAACGTGGTTCTAATATTTATTCATATTTTTTGTTTTAGTCCCTTTGAACTTTTTTTTTCTATTTTATATCATTCTTTTTCAAATACTCACAATGAGTCTCTCATCTAATGAAGGTCAATAGAACAAAGAGTAAGTTTTAACTCTAGCAAATCAAGCGGATATAAAATTTACTTGAATTAAGATAAAAAAAAAAGTTTAGAACTATTTTAATTTTTAGAATGGTTTTTTCAAATTAGGTTTTATGCAAAAATAATGTTAACTTATATAATTATAAATTAAGTTTAATTTTATTGCACCGTTACATGATCAATCGATCAATCGTAATATATAAAATATATAGTTAATATGATTTTTATATTAACTATCATAAAAGGAAAAATATTATTTATATAATAATTAATAATTTGAATGATAGCATAAAAATTATATATTGTGAATGTTTTAATTAATCTTTTATATTTTTATAATAAAATATACTAATAAGTACAAATACATTAATAATAATAATAATAAACGACTTATGCAGGCCTGCTACGTCATACCTATTTTTTATGTAAGTTTTTTCAAGTCGAATTTTAAATATGCACATTTACTTGAACATTATACTAATTTTGCTACGTGACTTCAAATATGTTGGACTTGTTTTTTGTTTTAATTAAGTATCGCATCAGTCTGCAAGCACTCTCTTCTCCCTGATTTTTCTTAGCCGACAATTCTGACATATCACTGGCTTACATCTTAGAAACACACAAATCACGTTTTTTGAATGGATCTATCAATTTTATTAAAAAGAGCCTGTTTTTTTTAATAACAATCACAAAAATTTATTTAATAACAATAACAATAACAATAACAATAACAATTTAAAAAAATATATAATATCATAACAATCACACACACACAAAAAATATTTTTAGTATTTATTTAATAAATAAAACAATTCTAAAACATCACAGACTTGTTTGTTAAACACGTCTAATTTATTCAAATAAACTTATAAATCATCTAAACAATTTAGAGGCTAACAGCTTTATTTGAAGGAGGAGGGGACAGAAGTTACACTTAATACAAGGATAAACTAATTTTTAATACTGAGAAGTTACACTTAATACAAGAATAAACTAATTTTTAATACTGGGAAGACAACGATTAACCGAGTAGAAGCCTCCATCCACAACAAGGTTGTGTCCACTTATATAAACTGATTCATCAGAAGCAAGAAACAAAGCAGCTTCTGCAATATGTTTGGACTTCAAAGTGATTCCATGTAAATTGGCATTAATATGGCCAATAGCTTCAACTTCACTTGCATCCATGTTAAATGCTTCACAGGTAAGAGGCGTGGCAACTGCATATGGCGAGATACAATTCACTCTAATCCCATAAGCTCCCAGCTCACTGCAGGCTGAACGAACAAAGCCAAGAAGACCATGTTTTGATGCAGTGTAATCATGACCCGCACATCCTCCGAAAGAACCAGCAACACTAGCTGTACATATTATAGATCCGCGTATTTTTCTAGCCACCATGACACGCGATACATGCTTTATACATGCTGCTGCGCCAAGAACATTCACGGCCATGGTATTGTCAAATTCATTCAGATCAAAGTTAAGAATGGTAGATAAAGGCCCTGAGATGCCAGCATTACTGAACAAGATTTCCACGCTGCCATATTTTTTCAACGTGAAAGTTACTGTTTCTTCAACTTGTTTTTCATCTCTCACGTCGCAGGGGTGGTAACTCACTTTGTCTGAGCCAATTGATGTTGCGAACTGGTGACCCATTTCGTCTTTGATGTCTGCTATGACTACGAATGCCCCGTTTTCCACGAATATTCTCACTGCTTCTGCTCCTATTCCGCCGGCTCCACCGGTCACAATAGCCACCTTACCTTGCAACCTACAAAACATAACATACCAAACAATAGAATGCAAGAGTAATAATTTTTTATAAAAATAATAAGTATTTATACCAGTGAAGATATATAAAAAATTATCATTTCTGTATAATTAAAATTAATTTTAAGCAATTATGTTAATTAGCATGTTTGTATTCGTGTTCAAAAGCACATATATATATATAACTTGCATGTTAAGTGTATTTACAGTGTTTTTATCGTGTTTCCAAGCACAGGCTAGCTAGTTTGATACTTGGAATGGAAATACTGGGTGGACAGAAATATAGAGAGGGTGAGGAACATGGAAGCCATACCTTTGTTTGGACATTGATGATAATATGGCTCCTTCTTTGCTTGATGTGAAAATGAAAATTTTGCTCTGCTTGGATATGCAGTTTATCAGTGTAGAATTTCCCTAATCTTATAAGATAGGAGATGAAGGGCAAAAGTCTAAGATTGAGAACCACGTGTTTCCCGTGTTATCGAGGTGTGCTAATATCATGAGATAAATATGGGAAAGAAAAAGAAAGAAGGTACATGCATGTGGGTACGTGTATATATATTTTTTAGCTTTATATGTGTGTTATATTGATAGAAAATAAATAATATAAAAAATAAAAGTAAGGGATGTAATCTTTTAATAAATATAAATTTTATTATTTAATTTTATGCCTTTTTTTTATTTTGATGAAGACAATAAAATCTTATTTTAAATACATGAGAATACAATAACCTCAAGAACCCGATACAATAAATTTATATTCTTTTCTTCTGTTTTTCTTGGCACTGCGCTTTTGTTTTGGGTCCCTATCATAGGGCTTCACTTATTTATGGGAATCAATACAAAGCCCAAGAAGCAAGACACTATATTATTATTTGGGAGTTTGTAAATACTCTCTTTGATCAAAATGAATAAATTAATAAATAATATTTATTTCTGGGTTGGTTAAGAATCACGTGGAGGGGGGTGGTTGAAAATGATAAGAGGAGAGAATATAATTTTTAAATTCATAAAATAATATAATATTCATGATAATAAATAAATAAATATGTTTATTTTTATATTTTTTATTTTATATTTTTTAAAATTATAATATATATTTTATATTGAGATAAACTTGCAATTGACCAATCTATGAAGACAGACCAGACCAGACCAATATAAGGATATGAACAGGCCCAACAAGAAAAGAAAAAAAGAGAAAGAAATGGCATGAAATAAAAGCAAACTCTGATGGATGAAAATATTGATAAATAGAGAGAGCAAAGGAGTAAAATGAAATGTGCTTACCTCGCCAACTCTTGGCAATACCAATGAGTAATTAAATAATTGGTTTTGTCCCCTGAGTATGATAAGGCAGGAAACATGGCATCTTCCTAACTACAACTTTTGTTCAGAAACAATTATTAAACCAAACTACATTCATTTAAGTATGATGACTGCTAACTGACTACAACATAATTTGACATCCACCGAATCTAAATTATTTCCATCTGAGCTGAAACAGCCAAGTTGTGGACTCATTGAATCAATGAATGAATGACAAAGAAACAAAGAGAAAACAAAAACTTGATTAATAAACAACTTGGAGGCTTCAGCAATGATTAGTATTCATGGTAAAAGGCTTGCAGGTGAGGGACAGTCCTGGGACAACTTCAGCTGTGCTGCTGCACTTGAAATCCAGGTTAAGGCAATGCAGCTGGGTCAAACCGCAAGCACCTTTTTTTATGTTGAAATATATTGTTATTCTTTAGAGTTAATTTTTTTTATAAATTAGTTGTTATATATATATTTTAAAATTTTCCTAATTCTATACAAATATTTTATTATTTTTAATATCAACTATTATAATAAGTTATTAGATTCTTTTTATTTTTTTTTTGTTAAAAAATTTTATGTGATTTGTCAAAGTACTTGTTAATTTTAATTGTTAGAGCTTATAAATATGATATTAGATAATTGAACGCTTAAATAAGGTTCTTACCACTTAAAAACTTGTAATTTTTTTTTTCGTGTAAGTTTCTCAAAAATTATCATTTTTTCACATAATCTATCTAATGGTAAATTTTTTTTTAATATCTACTAATCTAACATTCAACTTAACTTATATAATATAATATAAAGTTTATTCAGATGATGATGTGTCATTTAACTTTTTTATATACTTTTAAATTTTTATTTTGGAAGTCTTATTTTTATAAACTAAAAATTCATTGAAAATATAAAAGGTGTGATGTCATCGATGACACATCTTATTTATGATATATCTTTGTCAAATTATACAAACCAACTTGAATGTTATGTAAATAAATAACAAAATAAGTTATCAATTATTAATAAAATGGAAAGATAGAATGAAAAATAATTTTTGAGAGATGAGGTTGAAAAATTAAAAAAGAGAAACCAAATAAACAAATAAAAATTTGAAAAAATAAATACCTTATTTAAGTCAAATAATTTCATATTATGCGATCAATAAATAAAAATCAAACAAATAAATTTAAAAATTAATAAAATCAAATATTTTTTATATAAAATAATTTTGTTATTTTTTCAATTAAGGTATAAGAGTTTGAGTTAAAAAGAATTTAAAGATACGAAAAAGGTCAACTGTCATGTATTTTTTTAAAAGAGTGTTGTTGGAAAAGGAGAAAAATAATTAAATATTTTGAAAGCTTGATAATTTCTAGATCTTAAGGTTAAAATTTAGTCTATTTACCTAGTTTGATTTTTTTTTAGATTTGACTTTATTTTTAAAAAAGTTTAACTTGATTCTCAAACTTATATAAATTTTATTTTATAATAAATATTTTAAATAAGTAAAAATTGTAGCCTTAATTGAGTCGGTGAATACTAAGCCTTTATTGAACTTAAATTTTTAAATAAAATAAATGTAATTTTAAAACGTTATAATACTTGTATGATTTTATATTATTTATTTTTATTTAAATAAGTTGATTTATTAAGTTTAAATTTTAAAATAGCCTATAGCTTAATGTTTTGTAACTAAATAAACTTTTTAAATTTTAAATAAGTGCTTGAATATTGTAATTGGCTTGAAAACATTATAAGAAAAAAACAAAGAAAAAATATTTTTCACCTTTAAATTTATTAATTTTAAATACTCAAATTTTAACATGCTAGTAGTATAACAGTTTTGTTAATTTGAAAAATCAACAAATAGAAGTTTTGATAAAGACTGCTATAAAAATATATTAATTACATGAAATATCACATTTCATATTAATTTTATTACTTTTATTTTTTTCAATCATTGTCCGACAATGATCAACAAAATCATTGTGATTCATATGATTACGAAATAATAATTTTATTCATACATTTTTTTTATATTTCAGTTTTTTCTTATCATGTGACATTATTTGCCATATCCCCCCTATTATCCCTCTCTTTTTTAGCATAGTATTCATAATAATTATTTTTAAAAAATAAAGCATACTAAAAAAACAATTTATAGCATAAGGAATAATTAATAATAATATTTAGTTATAATAACTATATTTAAAAAATACACTACTAATATTTCTCTTAAAAAATAATATTTAAACAACTATCTCATATTCAAACTATTTTTGCAACATAACTACAAGGTCAAATAGTTGTATACAAGTTGATACATGCAGTAAATGAAAATTAAAGCAACGAATAAATTGAATTTTTTATTGTCTATTTAAATATAATATTTAATATTATTAATATATTAAATCATATGAATTACAATAAAAATATTATATATATTATAAACTTTAAATACATATTAGAATATATTAAAAAAAAAAGGTAAGAAGGATGCGTTATTGGGTATGAACGGGAGTTACGAGAATATGGGTAAAATATAAAAATAAAAGATATAAATGTGATTTGAGAGAGTAAAGAATGGGGAGGTGAGTAGAAAAGGGGTTGAACGGTCAAAAAAGAAAGATAAGAAGAGAGAGCGGTTGAAGAAAGAAAGACATACATAGGTGTTTGTGTTGACTGTCATCGCTCACCACATCACACACCAAACAAAGCATTTTCAATTATTTCCATTTGTCCCCATTCTATTCCTTTGTCTCTTCTTTCCCATTCCGAATCCGAGGGATATCACTTCCACCTCCTGGATCCAATCCCCCCCTTTTCTTCACTTCATCGGTTTGTTTCTTTTCCCTCTTTTTCCCACTTCTCTTTCCTTTTATCACCTCTTCATTGCATAACAATTTCCCTCTAACTCCTCTAAAAATTATACCCATTTGTTTTCTCCCTCTGATTAACTGCTATTCTGCTTTGGTGCTAGTTGGGTTGAAGCAAAGGTTTCATTTTTAGTATTATTTTGTTGTTTAAATTCATAATGGGTTCTCAGATTTCATAAATGAAGAAACCCTTCACTCTCGATCAGTTTTTCTCTTACTGGGGTTTTGCTTGAGTTGCTGACTATTGATGTGAGTTTTGACCCTCGTTTGCAGGCTTAAGGTTTCGAAGTTGGTGTTGGTTGTTACCTTTTTGAAGTTCTGTATGATCTGCAAAAGGAATAAATAGGAAAACCTTGATCTCCCTTTTTTCTGAGTTGATGGCATCAGCGGGAGTAGCACCTTCTTCTGGAATGACAGATATGAATGCAAGTTCGGTTGGTGCTGAGAGGTTGCCCGATGAGATGAATGACATGAAAATCAGGGATGACAAGGTGAAGATTAGCTTTTTACTTTACCTTCCTGTGTAAGCATTTTTTTAAACAAGCACGTGGTGGAATGTGCAGTCTATTTATGTCAAAATTTACTGAACAAAATGCAGGAAATGGAAGCCACTGTGGTAGATGGAAATGGGACTGAAACGGGACATATAATTGTCACTACCATTGGTGGTAAACATGGCCAGCCCAAGCAGGTTTGTGTTTCATTTCTTATTCCTAATAACTGGACAGCTATATAGTCTTTTGAAATTATGTGATTGGTTGCTTTCTCGGTTTTAGACCATAAGCTACATGGCGGAGCGTGTTGTTGGACATGGCTCTTTTGGTGTAGTTTTCCAGGTTAATGCTTTGTATACTCCTTTCTTGCCATCTTTGAATTGAATAGCTTGAAGGTTTGCTGTATACTCATGTTCATTTGTTGTTCTGCTATTATTGTGCAGGCAAAGTGCTTGGAGACTGGCGAAACTGTGGCTATAAAGAAGGTTCTTCAAGACAAGAGGTACAAGAATAGGGAGCTGCAAACCATGCGCCTTCTGGATCACCCTAATGTTGTATCTTTGAAGCATTGTTTCTTTTCCACAACCGAAAAAGATGAGCTCTATCTGAACTTGGTACTTGAGTATGTTCCTGAGACGGTCAACCGAGTGATCAGACACTACAACAAAATGAATCAAAGAATGCCATTGATATATGTGAAACTTTATTCTTATCAGGTACATTTCTGTATGCTATATCAAAAAATTATTCATCTTTTTTTTTTCTTGTAAGCTTTAACTAGATGTTGTGAAAGCTGATGTATGTATCAATTTGTTGTTCTCATAATCCTTTCTTTTTCTTAATTTATAGATTTGCAGAGCACTTGCTTATATTCACAACAGTATTGGAGTATGTCACAGAGATATAAAACCTCAAAATTTACTGGTATATTCTCACAGAAACTCGTTTATTTTATTTCTTATTGCTATTTTGAATTCGACTTGAATGTGAATATAATATTCAGAGTATTGAATCTGTATTTTGAACATTTATGAATGTGCAAAATCTGCAGAAAATTTCTTGAATGAATATTTTGAGTTTGAGCGTTTAAAATTTCAAATTGATGCATGTGTCCACTGAAATCTGTGAGGCAGTTATAGTTTTTGCTATCATTTATAAGATGAACTTAACTATTTTTATGCAATGGAGATTGACTCATTTTTGCTTGTCTCTTTTGCATGTTGTCTTGTAACAGGTCAATCCTCACACACACCAGTTGAAGATATGTGACTTTGGAAGTGCTAAAGTCTTGGTTTGTTTATTCTTAACCCACAATCTATGTTTTGTATTTTCAATGGCTATCTTATGCTTTTTTTTTTTTGGGGACGAAATCCTGTCCTGCATATATCTTACAGGTAAAAGGAGAACCAAATATATCTTACATCTGTTCTAGGTACTACAGAGCTCCTGAACTTATATTTGGTGCAACTGAGTACACCACAGCCATTGACATTTGGTCAGGTGGCTGTGTACTTGGCGAACTATTGCTTGGCCAGGTATCTAGCTTCTTCAAGGATGTCTGATATATTTACAATTCATATATGTGTAGTAACTAATGATGAATTTCTGTTGCTGTCAGCCTCTCTTTCCTGGTGAGAGTGGAGTAGACCAGCTCGTGGAAATTATTAAGGTAAGATATGTTTTAAAGAATGCTAGTTTAAACTCTAAAAGTACAGGCATTCTGATAATTGCCTTCCTCTGTCTCCGCATGATGGCCCTTTGTACAATCACCCAGTGTGTGTGTGGTGATTATGTTTTCTATGAAACTAGATTGGATATATTAATTTTAAAGCGGACCTTGTTTCATCTTTCTGTTTTGTTTAGTGTTATTTTATATTTCATTTCCTCTGAAGATTCTTGGGTTTAACTGCAGGTTTTAGGATCCCCAACAAGGGAAGAAATAAAGTGTATGAATCCTAATTACACAGAGTTTAAATTTCCTCAAATCAAAGCCCATCCATGGCATAAGGTATTGTGATATTCTTTGACTGTTTCCTTACACAGACTTGTGGTGGTGTTGATCCATATCTGATTCTGAATCATCAGATCTTTCACAAGCGAATGCCACCTGAAGCTGTGGATCTTGTTTCAAGACTACTACAGTACTCTCCAAATCTTCGATGTTCAGCTGTGAGTATATATGATTTCGTAAGATGTGGAAGCTTTTAAGACAGTTGTCTTCATTCAGCCTTAAACTCGTCTTATGTGCATGATCATTATGTGGCTGCATTTATATTTTTCCAGAATGCATGTAGTTTCTTTTTTCAATATATTATATTCGAATTAATAGTTTCCATGGCATAGCTTTAGAACAGAACGCCATGTATATGTGACTAATGTCAATGTAGTTGGCCTAATCCTTCTTTTTTGTGACTGAACTTGTGAACATTATTTCTGTAATTACTTCCAATTGAATATTATTTTAAACTACATTGTTTCTGCATTGTGTAATGTAGTTGGAGGCTCTTGTTCATCCATTCTTTGATGAGCTGCGTGATCCAAATACCCGGTTGCCAAATGGGCGTTTCCTTCCTCCACTATTTAACTTCAAAGTCAACGGTAAAGAGATAATTTCCTGATAAATATTATGTTGTTATATCATTTGAAGTTCTCGGATAATGACGTGTTGCTGGAAATCTGATGCAGAGCTTAAGGGAGTACCTGCTGAGATGCTGGTGAAGCTTATTCCACCTCACGCAAGAAAGCAGTGTGCCTTGTTTGGGTCATAAAGAAGCTCATAAAGAAGCCTTATTTAGTTAATAGTACTTTCTGCCTGTAAAAGTGTATCTAGCCTGTTTCGGGTAGTTGATAGGTTATTTTCTTTCTGTTAATTTGTTCACCCTTCACCCCCCCCCCCCCTCCTCACTCCACCCACCTAAAGATCTCACCCACCTTCCAATTTATTAATCTTCTCAATGCCTGTAGAAATATGTTTGAGAAAAGCTTCATCTTGATTCCTTTGTAGCATGTGATGGGTTCATTCACCTTAAACGTGTAGCAGGTTGTATTAACTAGAATCATTATTTATTGAAGTGATATACTTGATCACTACCACACTGAACATGCGGGGATGCTTCCAAGCTTGATGATACCTTTCCTGTTACTATGGGAAATGTGGCTGTGTAGGACTTTGATTGCCTTTTAAGGAACTGTTACTCCCCTATTTCCATTCAAATGCTGTTACATAATATAAGTGGTTGATGGAAGGGGAAGATGTTAAACTAGACTGATTAGTACCTACTAGGAAGTGATTACTGCTACGAAATTGTTGCCAAACTTGCACGGCAATTGTATTGATTCGCTTCGAAGTGGTTGCAAGCATTCCATGCTACTTGACAATAAAGAATTATCTTGTTTCGGGCTTTATAGCGGTACCTTTGTAATCCAAAAGAAGTGCAGATGAAGTTTCACTCAGATCAGGATCTTGTGTTGTCTCCCAAGGATTTTGGAGATTAATTTCTTCTTAGTAGTCTTTTTAGGTTGTATCTTATATGCAAGCATCACAAAGTTCAAAGGCTTGTGGCATGATAATACTACTACTTGGTATTTTTTTTTAAATCTATTCTTTATATACATTTATTCTACATTTGTTTCTCCTCGGTTATACCTCTTATAAATTTATTTCTCACCTGTTTCTCAAAAAATTACTCTATATTGAACATTTTAACAGTGGAGCAATTAATGCTTGAGAGGAAAAATAAAAGGCTCCAGCTTCAACCAGAAATTAGTGGTGCCAAAAGAATTAGATACATTCACCCCCTCTTCCATCCTAAAAATATATTAGGACCAAACGATTTTAGAATCCTCTTCATTTAATACTAGAATCAATTTTATACACCTTAAAGCATGTTTTAATATAAATTTATAGTTGAGAATGATTTAGAAATATATCTTAAATATAATCAATGGATCGATTCTTTTTATAAAAATTTTAACTAAACGATCACTTAGCTGACTTGAGATATGCACGGATACTTGTGTAAGGAGGAAATGTGTGAAGGAAAAAAAATTGATAATGGTTTGAAAAAGATACGACGATTAATCTCAAATTCTCAATAACACATCTTTAAAATGTGTTTCATGCCCACGCATAAGACATAAAAAGGCTTTATGGGGGCTTTAAAAGTGACAATCCACAAAATCTCAAATTATGCACATCAATTCTAAGAACAATAAAATAATTTTAATAGCAATGTGCATTTTTCTTTTTCTATAATGAAAATGTATCCAACAAGGTTTCACATTAACGTGATGTATCGTGTATGTATTGTTTTCAATTATATTCGGATTAATAAATTCAGATTGGGGTAGCGTAGCACAACATAGCCACTTGACCATCAACTTTTCTCTTTCGGCTTTAAAGTTTAAAGTAAAAACTATCAAACAATTGGATTGGGTTTTAATCAGTAACTTTTTGCATGCTAAATGCAGTTTATGATTATTATTATAGGTCCTTTGGAATTTTGATACACCGAATGTGGAGAAAAAGAATGGCTCTTACAGCATCATTGCTGCTGAAATGAATTAAAAAAATAATATTGTTAATCTTAACTTTTAAGATTTAATTTAAATATTTAAAAGTAATAAATTTTAATAAAAATAAAATAATTAAATTTAAATATACTTTTAGTCCTCACATCTTAGTGAATTTTTAGTTTTAGTTTTTTCAAATAATTTTTTTATTTTAGTCCTCATTTTTTTATAAATTTATGTTTTTAGTTCCTAATGCTTACCTGATCCTTCCATTGAGATACTGACACTTGTTAATAATTTAAGCCAAATAATTATTATATTAGATATATAAAATAGTTTGTTAATAAACTTTGTAGTTGGTTAAACTCATTCTAACATTTTATTTATGGTAAGATATTTGAGGAGGCAGCTTACTGACAAAAATACGAAAGTGGCATCATTGGCTATGAGTAGCACAATGAATTGAGAAAGCACGACCAGAAATAGTGGCATATCATTTTTTGAGCAGCAAAAGAAAGCTATAGGCATTATACTCATATCGAGTGGAAGCAGTCAGAAACAAGAATTTTCAACTCAGACTGGATGGAGGGTTACAGATAAAAGATATATTGTATATTAACAACGCCAAATCAATATTTTAATTTAGGGAACTCTCTACTTTCAAGAACTGCATTCATATGTTTTTAACTCCATTAGTTAGCCCCTTCTTTCTTGGCTTCTTCATATATTTCACATTATAACAATGACAAGATTATAATTGGATCTGTATTAATAAGTGTGCGTTTGTTAAAATTAAAGTTTTAGCAAACGTAAACTTTTGCCAAACGTACAACCCTTTGTGAATCTATCATTTTTCTCAGCTACCCATAAACATAATTTTGTGGCCATCATCGTGTGACGCCAGATATAAATGATTTATACAATATATGCACATGAACATATATATATATAGCTCCCTTTTGACTGTAATTGATCTTTGTGTTATGTATTGAGCTTGTACTCGGAGTTCTCTGCAAAACCTCCCTCTTCAGGGATGAAGACAACGTTGATCTTCTAAATCAGTTTGAAAATCTTCATTAGAAATATACTATTTTCGTTGTCCATTTTTCACACACGTATATATTATTTGAATAAAATAAGCAGGGTCTTAAACTTGTTGATCTAACTTTAATATACGTATATATGAGCTTTGTGGCTAATAGAAATCCAATTCGACTTAAACAAGATTGTTTACTTTGATTTAGACAAAAATAAAAATGACAAAATCTAGACCAAAAGAAAATAGTAGTTGTGGGAAGAACATGGGAGGCTTATCGACTACCCACTAATATGATTTTTAGTTATTCCGTTTGGGCTTTTTTCAGAACAGTCATATGCAGACTCCACATTCTCTAAAGGAAGGGTAACGCTTAGGAGGTATTTGTCGTTTCCCACTTCGAAAGCCATTAATAAATTGGTAACGTGAAGATGAAACTTTAACAGACCTTCCACTATGATTTGTTATTATATATAGTAACTTAAGCTTTTTGATTCTGCATGCACTCCAAGGGCCAAACTCAGTTATACTTGTTGCAACTTGTGTTCTAGTGCTCATAGTGGTCTCACTTACACTACAAAACTAGAGACACTGGTTTCTTTCTAGTTCCCAAAACTCAGGGTCTAATTAGTCAATGATTAGAAATTACTTATTTCATTATTCTAGTTGTTGGTAATGACTAAGCCAATTGGTCTCAGGTTTTCTAAGTTTTAGAGACATAAATTTCTTCTCTTTTTTTAGCTTCAACTAGTTATTCTCTGTCAATCCATGCTAGAAAATTTGAGAATGAAACATTCTCATATTTTACCACTAGTATTCTGTATATTTTTCCTTACTTTAATTATTGTCCAAGCTAGGCATCATTCCCATGCAAAACACAAGCATTCACATTCTCATAAATCATCTGAAATTCCACAACCTCCTGCTCCACAGCCTGCACCTCCTCATAACAAGAACTATTACAATGCCTCTGGTATTTTTGATGTACGAAAGTTTGGAGCAATAGGAGATGGAATAACAGATGATACAGAGCCATTCAAGATGGCATGGGACACTGCATGCCAAAGTGAATCAGCAGTTAATGTTATCCTTGTTCCTCAAGGTTTCTCCTTTATTATTCAATCTACCATCTTCACAGGTCCTTGTCAAGGAGGCTTAGTATTGAAGGTATGCATACTTATTGTGCACCTTTTGGTCCTTAACTTCTTACATGTTTTAAGGGTGAATAATCTGACTATTCACTTTGCTGGCTCAAATATATGGAAGGTAGATGGCACTCTTATGCCACCTGATGGACCTGAATCTTGGCCAAAGAACAATAGTAGGCACCAATGGTTGGTTTTTTATAGAATTAATGGAATGTCACTGGAAGGTGGTGGGTTAATAGATGGGAGAGGAGAAAAATGGTGGGACCTTCCCTGTAAGCCTCACCGGGTACTAATAATTTAGAATAACAAGGAGCTGTTTGGTTTAAGAAATTTTTTTCTATTTTTATTTTTTGATTTTAGTTTTAATTACAAAATTTTCACTTTGTTTTCATTCTGTTTATTATTTTCAAAGCTTTGTACAGGAAATACTGGAAACAACTTTTTTCTTTTTAATGTTTTCTGTACAAATATTTAAAAACAGGAAATAAAGTGAACAATTTTTTTAATTAAAGCTCAAAACTGAAAATGATTTCTAAATTAAATGGCTCCTAAGATCTTTTTGTTTTCTTTTGCAATATGCTTCAATCAGCTGCTGACTCCAAGTTCCCTACTATAATTGCCTCAGGGATCTGGTGGGACAACATACCCAGGACTTTGTGATAGCCCAATTGTGAGTCTTCAAAGCCTTTCTTCTTCTATTTGTATAAATCCATTGTGATATGACCATAATTATTCATGCAAAATTATTAATGATGCAGGCCATAAGGTTTTTTATGAGTTCCAACTTGACTGTGCAAGGACTTAGGATAAAGAACAGCCCTCAATTCCATTTCAGATTTGATGGCTGCAGAAACGTCCACGTAGAATCAATCTACATAACAGCTCCAAAACTAAGCCCCAATACTGATGGAATTCACATAGAAAATACCAATGACGTGAAAATATATAATTCTGTGATTTCTAATGGTTAGGCACGAGAAATTCTTGGAATTCTCCCCATCTGTTGCATCAAAAGGCATTATTAATGTTTGTTAATTTGCTGAATTATCTTTTATAGGTGATGACTGTGTATCCATTGGTTCCGGATGCTATGATGTCGATATAAAGAACATTACCTGTGGACCTGGTCATGGAATTAGGTAATTATTTGCTTTCTAGAGATGTTTTAATCTCCTCATCTATTGCATTAGAAGGGATTGATAAAGGATATTTGATGACTGGAAAACTAAGTTTCCTTTTTGCATTTATTTGTTATAAAAACGCATGAAATGAAAATAAATACATATGAACTAAAAGAATTGCTTATTACACGTTCTTTTGAATACAGTCTTCAACACACTTTTTTTTATTGGTTACTTTTTTTAAAAATCAAAACAGTTACCTGGTAAATTTATTATTATTTTAAATTTTTTTTAACTTTTTAAAAACCTGATTAATAACATGAAATGATGTGTTAAAAAGTACGTAAGCTTAAAAAAGTATGTTACTAGTATTTCTCGATAAATCAAATACTCCCTTCACTTTTTTACTTTTTTTTTTGCTTCAGTCTACTATTTGAATATTTTTATTTAGAAGAGTGGTAGGGAAAGACTCTAATACTATGTCTTGAACTACCTAATCCCAAAAGCTCAAGCTATTAAATGAAACCACAAAAATGGTTTTATTACATCTCTAACAGTGATCTTGTTAACTAATTCAGTATTGGTAGTCTGGGAAATCACAACTCTAGAGCCTGTGTTTCAAACATTACGGTGAGAGACTCGTTGATAAAAGTGTCAGATAATGGAGTTAGGATCAAGACTTGGCAAGGTGGATCAGGATCTGTATCTGGAGTGACATTCAGTAACATTCACATGAGCAGTGTAAGAAATCCCATCATAATTGACCAGTTCTACTGCCTCACTAAGGATTGCACCAACAAGACCTCTGCAGTATTTGTATCAAATATTCTCTACAAAAACATCAAGGGAACCTATGATATAAGGAGCCCTCCTATGCGTTTTGCCTGCAGTGACTCCGTTCCATGCACCAACTTAACACTCTCAGATATTGAGCTCCTTCCAGCACAAGGTTATCTAGTGCATGATCCTTTCTGTTGGAATGCTTATGGAGATTTGCTCACACTAACCATTCCACCAGTCTCTTGCTTGTTGGAGGGCACTCCTCAGTCCGTGTTAGACTATGACATAACTCTTTGCTGATCCACTAGATTATTTAAAGAGCCAAATGTAATTATTAGAGAAACTGAATATTATTATTGCTGAGGAGTAAAGTTTTTTATGCTCCTCTCCAATTGTAAACTATGTGGCGTTATTATTCAGGATTGAAATTAACGTTTGAACTTGCTTCATTGCTTGTATTTTAACAGTTAATTAAGAGCTCGGATTTGCTTCCCGAACTAATCCTCCATAAGTGTCATGGCTATACTATTTGAAACACTTGTGTTTTCCATCTATCGCATGGACTTTCGATTGCCTACTCATTGACATAGTCATTCTCGGATCACACGACCAAGAAAGAAAAAAATTAACAGTTGGGTGTTATATCAGACATTCATAATCCAATACGTCATACTAATAGACTGTTCTATTAATATGAAAACAAATATACACATAGGTATTTCCCTCTATCATATTATTAGTGTAATTTATCATACTGTCAGTGTAAATTGTAAATTCTGTTGAACAAAGTTTGTATTAAGAGAGACAATGATTAGATAACGAAGTCCTACGTTAATGGATTAATAAGTTAAAAGGTATATAAGTAAGATGGTTATGACTCTCAATTACTCAAGCTTCTGCTTACTCTCTCACACACTTTGATCGGACCCGCACTCAAAATTCTGATAACAATCTTGATGCCAAACATCTTAATTTTCTTGTTAATATATTTAACTATTTTTGTAGTCAGATGTAGCAGAACAAGTCATAAATAATTTCTTACCTTTCCCGATCGAAATTCATCCCAGGCAAGTGGTCATAAATAATTTCCCAGACGTTCCTAGCTCCCACATGATCCACCATATATTGTGTGAAAAGTTTTTGGTTATATAAGAAAGCATCAGATTTGGCCATAAAAATTGTGTTACTTTCATGACTAAACAGTTAAGTGGAGTGGTGAAGGGTATTGAATAGGTTTATACATCTGACAAATCCCTGTGTCCCCATTTTTTGTACCCTTCATGTCCATTTGACCTCCTAAGAAAAGACACTGAAGCTGAATTGTTTATGGATGATACCACACTCGCTAATTTAGCAAACCAAGTCAGAGACTTGATGAATTTACTGTTTCTTTTTAATAGAACTTTATGCTTCAACAGAAGCACTGAACTTTTGTCTCCCACGGAAAATAATATAATATGGCCCAGGATGAATCAGTTTACTATTTAAAATCAGAAACTTGAAGAGATTCCAATACTCCCTTGGCATTTGTGTCTTCATGGAGAAGACTGACTAGAATATAAACAAACAAAAAGAATGTACATAAATATAGAAGGAATCCGGAAATCAAAGCAAAAAGAGTATGATAATAACATAGTAGTTAGTGAGCGTGAGTGATTTCAAGAAGATTTGCATCCCATGACCCTCCCTTCTCAAAGTTGAATGTGCAAGTGGAGAAACAAACTTCCTTTTTAGTCATGCACACCCACTGGCCACTGTTGTCATGGGTCAGGGTTTTGATATATCAAGAGGGGAACTAGACATATATATGATCAACAAGAAAAAAGTCACCAAGCACCTGCTAAATCCAATTGCTTCCCACCAAACATACTTTTTTTCTTCTTCCAATCTCTTTGTATGTTACTGTTGTTACGAGGCAGAATTACAAAATGATATTTAATAAGATTTTGTGTGTGTTTGAAAACATGTTTAAAAATCTGTAAACTTGGATCCAATACAAAAGTTGTAATTAGTAGCGTTGAAGTAAAGGAAGATATATAACCATTATGCAAATCTAAGCATGCATCAAATATTATGTGCTTGGTAAAATAGTGATTTCTGTTTTAGGCACATTCTGCCTGCTTTTTTCTGCTCAACTTGTTCCTCTTCTAGTCCACTAATTATTTTGCAGCACAATGGCAGAACATTCTTCCAAAGTCTGTTCACTTCATGATTGATCATTCTGCACACGTTTTTAACTCCAAGCGTTCCAGAATCCATTTTCAATTTTCTTTTCAACTTTTGTTTCCTTGTTCGGTGTTAGAATTTCTCACTTTGGAGAAGAATACTAACAGACTATATTTTATAACATTTGGAAATTTCTCTTTTCTTAAACTACTAAATATAAATAAAATTCGGTTCATTTCTAATATGATATCAAAATCTATAACCTCATGCAATTTATTTAACCCTTCAGGACTAACTTTTTTTCAGTGGCTCGAGATAAGTGTGACATTGCTATTGAGTCTAAAGACTTGTGGTTAGATGATGCTATGTAGGTATAGCGCTTTTTTTGTTCTTTAATTTTTTTAATTATTGCAGTTTCATGGAAGGAGAAGGCCCAACAGCTCCTAAATGATTAATGCAAGGATGTCGCATGAATGTGGGTATGGAAAAATGTCCAAACTCTAAAGTTAAAAGAAAAAGGGAGAAAGAATCTAGGCCATTTAATGGCATCTCATGGTGCCCACTGTTAATTTATCAATATGATAGAATCATACTTTATTTCTTATATATAACATCTAAAGATAGGAAACAAATGCCACTTTCTTTATCCATTATGCTGTTTGAAGAGACTGTTAACAAGAGGAGAAAAAGCAATATATAAAAGAGGGAGAGTGCCAAAAAAAGCTAAACAGCTTTAGTGTAGTCTAAACATTGGCATTTTTTTATATGTTGGAAAGAACTATCATTCTGTTGCTTCTTATTGATTTCTTTTGTCCATGTCAAAAGATGAACGGATTCGGATCTCTTCATGTTTCGGTCCAGGTCATGTTAGTGTATTTTTATAATTTTATTTAAACAAAAGCAAAAAAATTTCACTTAAAAATGTAAAAATACACTAAAGGAGGGAATCTTTTTCAAGATAAACATAAAAGATAAAAGATACAAAATTCTAAAACAAAGCTATGATATTGAGAAACAATATTATCAAATTTATTATAACAATATAGATAATTAAGACAAAATAAAAACTTACGATGTTTATTTTAAAAAATAAAATATAAGATAATTACAATTTTTTTTCCTTTCAATAAACACAAACAAATTATCATACTTCAATATATCTGAGACGGGAGAACACGCAACGTTGTCAGCTGCACGTCAGCCACAGTGGAAATTCCTCTTAATTATAATTTTAATTAAGTTGTAGAGTGTAATGATGTGGGTCCACAGATTCTCTACTCACCCAACAACTCCACACCCAACAATCCCACACAGTAATCTCTCTCCAATCACACATTGAATATTTATTAGACATACACAAAAAATATTTACCACAAGTAAAAATACATTTACTTTATAAGTTTATATATGAGAATAGATAAATATTTATAAAGTTATATGTGTATAAAATACGAATATTATTTTTATACTTATTTATCTGTATTGAATAAACACGTCAATGTAGTAATCTAAAGTATAATTGAAGGGAAAAAATCCGAGAGAAAAAAAATAATATAGTACTCTTTCCTTGTTTAAATATTAAAATATATATTGGAAGAAAGTTTTTTTAGAGCATCTAAAATTCTCCATATTTTTAAACTCTCAAATATAATAATATTTTAAAACCTTACCCTTTTTAAAATTGAATTTCTAAATAAATATACGAAAAGGGTTATTTTTTAGTACTATTTATTAATTTTGCAAATTTTACAAAAACAAACTTATTTATGTTTATTAGACTTTTTATTATACTACTATGATCATGTGATTGTAATATGACTACTATTGTTGGTTATCATATTATTTTGAAGTTTAGCAAACTCTTTTATGATTTTAATGTATCTTTTGCCTTTGAAATTTTTTTCTCTCTCTCTTTTCCTTTTCTTTTCAATATATCATCCTTGTTTCAGTGGATAACACTTTTTGGAATGTTATATTATGATTTTTAGGGGAAAATATCTATTATTAAGTAGTATTTTTCAAGTTTTTTAAATGAATATTTAACGATAAAGTGATAAATAGTGAAAATTTTATGTTGTCCTAACAATGATTTTTCTCGTCCTGTTTCTTTTAGTTACCATACCCCTTTTAAGTCTTTTATAATTGAATTGCATAAAAAAATTTATTTCATAACAGATATATTGAATATATGAATTGTTTTGATTTCAACTTTATTTTATTTGCATATTTCTCTCAACAATTCTTACTTTATGTCATTCTTCTACTTGCCGGTTCAGTGTATAAGATTTAAATGTCATTATTATTTTATTTTTAAAATAAGGACCACGAACTTAACTTGCTAAGAAAATGTATGGAAGCAAATTCAATACTTCTTTCATCACTTATTATTATTTTTTATTGAAAATACTGAAATTATTACAACAGCTAGTTGATAAGAACTAATTTTAGAGTAAGAAATTATTATTTTTATCGTGAATTAATACAATTTTGTTTATAAATTATATAACTTTTATTTTACATTACTTGCAAATAATGTTTCGAAGTAAATATTTTGTTTATTTCAGTTTAAATATTATTTTGATATATATATATATATATAGAGAAAGATCTTTTTACACTGATGTAAGTCTAAAATTTTTTAAATTAAATCTAAACCTTTCATTTAATTTATATTTAATAGCTAGTAAAATAATAAATTATAACTTGTTAGATATAAATTAATTGAAAGGTTCAAATTAAGTGTAAAAGTTTTTAGATCTATACTAATATAAGAAGATCATACCCTAAACTTGGTATTAACATTTTTAAAAATATTTTCATGAAACCATATCTAAAATAGTCTATGCAAATTATAAAAATCATGTGCTCAACTAAAAATATATTATTTTTTTAAAATAAGAATTAAAAAATTATAATTTAATTACTGTATAAGAATTAAAATATATTTATTTATTTTATGGTAACTATCTTATTGTGATATATTTTTCCTCTTTCAAATCCTATTAAATTAGAAATAGGTGTTTCTTTGGGAGTTGTTAAAACGATATTTTCTTTAAAATGTCTAAAAACAATGATTAATTTTTAAGTAGCTTTCTATTTTCTAAATAATGTAGACAGCTTCCATAATTTACTCA